GACCAGGATGGTCTCGATCTCTTGACCTCGTGATCCACCCGCCTCGGCCTCCCAAAGTGCTGGGATTACAGGCGTGAGCCACTGCTCCCGGCCCCAATTTTTGTATTTTTAACAGAGACGGGGTTTCTTCGTGTTGAACCAACTGGTCTAAAAACCCCGATCTCAGGTGATCCGCCTACCTCAGCCTCCCAAAGTGCTCGGATTACCGGCGTGAGCCACGGAGCCTGGCCTAAATTTTTATTTATTTATTTATTTTAACATTTATTTATTTTTGAGACAGAGTCTCGCTCTGTTGCCCAGGCTGGAGTGCAGTGGTGGGATCTCGGCTCACTGCAACCTCCGCCTCCCGGGTTCAAGCGATTCTCCCACCTCAGCCTCTCGAGTAGCTGGGACTACAGGCATGCATCATCACACCCGGCTAATTTTCGTATATTTAGTAGACGGGGTTTCATCACGTTGGCAAAGCTGGTCTGGAACTCCTGACGTCAGCTGATTCACCTGCCTCAGCCTCCCAAATTGCTGGGACGACAGGCGTGAGCCACCTCGCCTGGCCAAGTTTAACTTCTTAAGAAAGTGCTAAATGCAAGGGCCTGTATCGATTTCCACTCCCAGCGGCAGCTTGCGAGAGTTCCGGCTGCTCCACGTCCTTGCCAACACTTGTCAGTGTCAGTCCTCTTAAATTTAGGCACCGTAGTGGGCGTGTGCTGAGCCGTGTCTCACTGTGGATTTCTCACTGGGCTGAATCTGCATTTCCTTAATGAGTCATGTGGAGTGGGTGTGTGATGGGCAGCGTCTCATTTGGGATCTCATTTGCATTTGATGAGTCATCATGATGAGCACCTTTGCACATTCGGGACTGATGGTGTGGCGTGTGTTTTTTGAGACGGGGTTTTCACCCAGGGCGTGGTCACAGCTTAACTGTCCTCAAGCTCTTTTCCCACAGCAGCCTCCCAAGGAGATGGAACTACAGGCCAGGGCTGCACCACCACGCCTGGTTAGTTTTAAATTTTTTTGCAGAGATGGGGTCCCACCGTGTCACCCAGGTTGGAGTGCAGCGGCGTGAACTCCTGGGCTCGTGAACTCCTCCTAAAGGGCTGGGATAACAGGCAGGCACCACCACACCTGGATTTTGTATCTTTTTGTGTATGTGTGTGATGTATCTGTTTAAATCTTTTGCCCATTTTTAAGTAACAGCTTTACCGAGATAAAATCCACATGCCATACAGCTCACCCACGTAAAGCACCCTTCAGCCCAGGGCGGTGGCTCATACCTGTAACCCCAGCACTTTGGGAGGCCGAGGCAGGTGGATCACAAGGTCAGGAGTTTGAGACCAGCCTGGCCAACATGGTGAGACCCTGTCTCTACTAAAAATACAAAAATTAGCCGGGCATGGTGTTGTGCGCCTGTAATCCCAGCTACCTAGGAGGCTGAGGTGGGAGGATCACTCAGACCCTGAATGTGGAGGTTGCAGTGAGCGGAAATCATGCCACTGTACTCCAGCCTGGGTAACAGAGCCAGACTCATCTCCAAAAAGAAAAGAAACTCCACATCCCTTAGCAGTCAGCCCCCTTCCTGGTCTCCCTCTCCCGGGTCCTACGAAACCACCCATCCACTTTCTGTCTCTCTCAGTTCACCAGTTCTGGACGTTTCTTCGGAAGGGACTCATACGACATGCTGCCTTTTGTGCCTGGCCTTTTCCCTTCGAGTGGTGTTTTCCAGGCTCGGCCGCGGGGCAGCACATGGGCCCGTGTCTTGCTGGGTTGTCAGTCTTATCCCTGGACCGCAAATGTTCCCTGTGAATTCTGGGCACGTGTACTGCACATAGTTCTCTTGCTCTGTGGTTTGGCTGTTTATTTTCTGAATGGCGTCACGCGAAAAGCAAAAGCGTCAGTCATGGTTTCTGCTTTCTCTCTTCAATCTGACAGGTCTCTGCCTACTCCAAGCCCACAAACACTGTCTCCCGAATTTTCTTCTAAACGTTTCATAGTTTAAACTTTCTTTTTTTTTTTTTTTTTGAGACGGAGTTTCGCTCTTGTTACCCAGGCTGAAGTGCAATGGCGCCATCTCGGCTCACCGCAACCTCCGCCTCCTGGGTTCAGGCAATTCTCCTGCCTCAGCCTCCTGAGTAGCTGGGATTACAGGCACGCGCCACCATGCCCAGCTAATTTTTGTATTTTTAGTAGAGACGGGGTTTCACCATGTTGACCAGGATGGTCTCGATCTCTTGACCTCGTGATCCACCCGCCTCGGCCTCTCAAAGTGCTGGGATTATAGGCATGAGCTACTGCGCCCAGCCTTCTTTTTCTTCTTTTTCTGATGGAGTCTCGTTCTGTTGCCCAGGTTAGAGTGCAATAGCTCGATCTTGGCTCACTGCAACCTCCGCCTCCCGGACTCAGGCAATTCTCCTGCCTCAGCCTGCTGAGTGGCTGGGACTACAGGCACCCACCACCATGCCCGGCTAATTTTTGTATTTTTAGTAGAGACGGGGTTTCACCATGTTGACCAGGATGGTCTAGATCTCTTGACTTCGTGATCCACCCGCCTCGGCCTCCCAAAGTGTTGGGATTACAGGCGTGAGCCACCGCGCCCGGCGTCCTCTCTCTTTCTTCCTTCTTTTCGAGACAGGGTCTCACTCTGTTGCCCAGACTGGAGTACAGGGGCATGATCTTGGCTCATTGCAGCCTCAACCTCCTGGGCTCAAGCGATCCTTCCACCTCAGCCTAAGTGGCTGGGACTACAGGTGTGCACTACGACACCCAGCTAATTTTTGTATTTTTTGTAGATTCAGGGTTGTGCCCTGTTGCCCAGGCTGGGTCGAACTCCTGGGCTCAAGTGACCCTCCCTCTTCAGCCTCCCAACGTGCTGGGATTAGAGACGTTAGCCACTGCACCCGGCCAGACGCTCATTTTTCATAAATCCACCTCCCTTATTATTGAATTGTCAATTTGCCATCTAACCGTGGGTCTGTTTCTAGCTTCTCTATTCTGTCTCATTAACCTCCATCCTTTCTTTTGTTGGTGGAGTAAAGTGGCGCAATCTTGGTTCACTGCAACTGTCGCTTCCTAGGGTCAAGCGATTCTCCTGCCTCAGCCTTCCAAACAGCTGGGATTACAGGTGCCCACCACCACTCCCAGCTAGCTTTTTCTATTTTTAGTGTAGACAGGTTTCGGCCGGGCGCGATGGCTCACGCCCGTAATCCCAGCACTTTGGGAGGTCGAGGCGGGCGGATCACGAGGTCAAGAGATGGAGACCATCCTGGTCAACATGGTGAAACCCCGTCTCTACTAAAAATACAAAAAATTAGCTGGGCATGGTGGTGCGCGCCTGTAATCCCAGCTACTCGGGAGGCCGAGGCCGGAGAATCGCCTGAACCCAGGGGGCAGAGGTTGCGGTGAGCCGAGATCACGCCATTGCACTCCAGCCTGGGTAACAAGAGCGAAACTCCGTCTCAAAAAAAAAAAGTATAGACAGGTTTCACCATGTTGGCCAGACTGGTCTCAAACTCCTGACCTCAGACAATCTGCCCGCCTCGTCTCCCCAGAGTGCTGGGATAACGCCCAGCCCCTATGTTCATTTTTAAATCATCTCATCAGCTTCTTCAGAAAAGGCTGCTGGAACTTTTGTCTCCATCCCTGGGTCAGCGTGGGGGGATCTGGAGTCTTCACGTCTGCCTTCCAGTTCCCAAGTGGGGCGTGGTTCTCTGCTGACTCACGTCCTCTCTGCTTTCTCTCAGCAGATCTCTGTATTTTCACTGAGGAAGTCTCCAACATGTTTTATTTCTAAGTATTTTAGTTTTTGAGCGATTGCAACTGGATTTTAAAATTTTACTTTCCAGGCCGGGCGCGGGTGGCTCACGCCTGTAATCCCAGCACTTTGGGAGGCCGAGGCGGGTGGATCACGAGGTCAAGAGATCGAGACCATCCTGGTCAACATGGTGAAACCCTGTCTGTACTAAAAATATAAAAAACTGAGCTGGGCATGGTGGCGCGTGCCTGTAATCCCAGCTACTCAGGAGGCTGAGGCAGGAGAATTGCCTGAACCCAGGAGGCGGAGGTTGCGGTGAGCCGAGATGGCGCCACTGCACTCCAGCCTGGGTAACAAGAGCGAAACTCCGTCTCAAAAAAAAGAAAAAAAAGAAAATAAAAATAAATTTTACTTTCTAGTCGGTTTGCTGCTAGAATATAAAAAGATACCTATTTTTCAGATATCGACCTTACCGCCGGTGACCTTGCCAAACTCGCCAGCCGTTCTAGTACTTATGAATTTTATGTGCGAATAATCTAATCACAAATAAAGAGGGTTTGGCTTCTTCCTTTCTGATGGTCCCTGTTTCTTATATTTTTCTTGTCTTATTGGAATGAATGCCAGTGACCATCAGTACAATTTGTTTTTTTTTATTTTGTGAGCTGCAGTCTCGCTCTGTCACCCAGGCTGGAGTGCAGTGGTGCCATCTCAGCTCACTGTTGTGCACCCCCCCCCGGGTTCAAGTGATTCTCCTGCCTCAGCCTCCCATGGTGCTAGTCGAAGGCTGAGTCCAGGCTGGCCACAGCACGTTTTCTTCTTGCAGCCTGCTGGTTCAGGGCTCAGCCAGGCACGTGGGCTCCTCCACGGCTCCGGTTCAGAGCTCAGCTGGGTCTGCGGCCCCTCCACGGCTCCTCCCGTCCAGGTCTCTCCTTGAGGTCTGCGCTCCTTCCTTGGCTTCCTTTGGCGGGAAAGTGGTGGGTTTCGTGGGAGTCTGGGCCACTTCACAGCACCGCGGCGGACCTGCCGCTCCTCCAGGGCAAAGCTTCGTGGACATGAAGGGGACGCCACTCCCAGCTGGTCCCCCCCTTTACCTGTCAGTCCCCTCCCCGGAACCCTTGGGTATCAGGTTTTCTACAGTTTCTTCTGGAATTTTTCAGTTGTCTTCTATAGAAGGGATTTTTTTTTTTTTTTTTTTTTTGAGACGGAGTTTCGCTCTTGTTACCCAGGCTGGAGTGCAATGGCGCAATCTCGGCTCACCGCAATCTCCACCTCCTGGGTTCAGGCAATTCTCCTTCCTCAGCCTCCCGAGCAGCTGGGATTACAGGCACGCACCACCGTGCCCAGCTAATTTTTTGTAATTTTAGTAGAGACGGGGTTTCACCATGTTGACCAAGATGGTCTCGATCTGTTGACCTTGTGATCCACCCGCCTCGGCCTCCCAAAGTGCTGGGATTACAGGCTTGAGCCACCGCGCCCGGCCAGAAGGGATTTTTTTAAAAGACCCTTCACCCCCTCTTGACATTGGTAAGTGACGCTTGCACCTGGCGGCCTTGCTGAATTCTGTGTGCCTGAGGGTCGGGTTCCACGGAGAATCATCATAGGAAACTCACTCCACGGAAAAGGATCAGAGGGGACCCCTGCGCACACCTCCCTTCAGAAACAGAAACCTTCACAGCCGAGGCACATTCCCCACTGGGAACAGCAGCTCACGGCATTCCTCCGGGAGGGCTTCAGGGGCAGGGAGGGGCTTCAGGCATCAAGGCCACCCACCCAGGCTGTGGTCCCAGGTCAGGGGGAGCCGCTCTTCCCCAGCAGCCTGCAGCCAGCCTGGACCGGAGGGGAAAACTGCCCCGCTTCACCAGGCCAGCGAGTGCCCGGGGGCAGGTCTGTTCCAGTTGTCCCTGAGGGAAGGGGTAGGCGTGTGCCTGGAGCTGGCCCCGGCCCTGGGTGGGAGCTGCCTCCCTGACCTGTGTCCTCTCGGCCCCGAGAGGGACGGCTCATAGCCTTGCGAGGTCCACACTGCACTGCCCTGGGTCAGGAACGCGCTCCCAGGAGTCCTGTCTGGACTGTGTGTCCCGAGCATGCCGACCTGGGACTGTTAGGTGGCCACGCTGCCCCCTCCCCCTTCTGCCCCCGGTTTCACCACCCAAAAATCCAGAGAGGCGTGAAGCCTGGGCCCGGGGTTCCCACCCACACCCACCAAGGGCAGGCTGAGGGCAGCTTTGCCTTCCCAGCACCCTTTCTCCCCCAGGTGGGGGGCCTGGCCCACGCCCGTCTGCGGCTCCTGCTCGGGGTCTCCACCCACACATTCCTGTGGCGTGAGGTGCAGCCGCTCCCAGCTGCCCCGGGCAAAGCCGTCATTTGTTCCCCTTGAGGGCCTGGGAGGCTGCCAGGCTCCCCACACCCACTTCCCAGTTGAAGAAACCGAGGCAGAGGAGGCTCAGGTGTGACCAATCACGGTGCTGGTCAGAGTTGCCCCGGGCAGGGCCCACGGAGACTCTGGGAGGGGCCACTTTGGACCTGGGGTGCTGGGGGCTGCTTGGGCGTGAGGGGATTCCCTCCCTACCCAGCTGCGCAGAAGCCCTTGGAGGCCTGGGGGGCTGGGCTCCCCCTTTCCCACCGCCCTTTGGAGAACCACGTGGGCACCACCGGAGACCTGAAGGGGCCGTCCTGTCCGCCGTGGGTGCCGCCAGTGCCACGCTGTCCTGTCTCTGCCTGGCTGGCCACTCCCACCTGCTGTGACTCGAGGACAGACAGACACCCACGGTGCCTCCTGCCCTGGGATCTGTAAGTAACAACCTGGGAGCTTTTCCTGCTGTGGTGTGGGTGGAATCCTCGCCTTCCATCTGGAGAACCGGGGCTGCCCAGGCCAGGCCGTCAGCATGGAGCAATGGTCAGGCTCCAGCTGGACCCGATTTTACCCTGCAGGGCGCGGCCCCCCAAGGCCCCAGCCCCCCTGCAGGTGTGAAGGATGCGGATTCCAGGGCTCACAGTGGCCGGCAGAGGCCCCACAGAGCAGGAAGGGCCAGGCTCCAGGGGAGCCCCCAGCCCAGGTGCTGAGGTCCTTGGGTCAGCTGGGGCTGGGCTGGGGTGTGCCCAGATCTCTTGTGATCTGATGGGCACGTTTCCTGCCTGGCTTCATGCACCCCAAGGGCTGAGGGTCCCACCGACCGCTCATTTTCTGGCTGGGGAGTCTGGTTTTCTTCCACCTTGTCAAGGTGTCCATCCTCAGGGCCTCTCCACTTCCTCTGGGGCCTGTGGGGAATAGAGGCCTGGAGGCCCTGTGGCTCCCTGTGACATTCCCCAGTGGCCGGGCTGACCAGGTGGGGTCTGCCCGCGGACAGAGCAGCTGAGCGCGAGTGTGTTACCCCGTTTCTGAGCTGTGGGTGACCCACAGCCCAGGCCAGGGTTTTCGGGAGGCAGCTCTAATTCTCCCAAGACACACTGGCCTCCCTGAAAGGGGTGAGTGTCGAAGCTGGTTCCCTCCTAGCCCCTTCCCCGCTCCACACTGGCCCCCAGACCCCACCCTAGAGAGGACAAGGGGTCCCCAGGCTGGTCACACGCCCAGCCCCCCTCATCTGGACTGCACCTCAGAGAGGCGGAGTGGCTCCCTGCTGCTGGCAGGTGGGAAGGGGTGGTGCCCTAAGTCCCCACAGCGCCCCTCCTGCCTCAAGGGCGTTGTTTGCCTAGCAGGCCTCTGGGCATTCACTAAGCCCAGGCACCTGCAGCCGATGGCAGGGGAGAGGGGAGGGAGGGGAGGGAGCCTGGTCCAGGCGAGGGCGCCGCTGAGTACAACCCACACCTGTGATTTCCTCTTCACCAGTGGGGAGACTGACGCCAGCCTGAGCTGCTTGCTCTAAACTCTCCCCACCCTGCCCTGCCCTTCTGGGAGAGGGAGTGAGTGTCAACTGAAGCCTGGGCTGTCTGGACTGGGGACCAGGCTCTTAGACGCAGCCCCTCCCCTGGGCAGGAGGAGCCAGTCAGGGCAGGGGACAGAGGGCTCTGCAGCTGGAGAGCAGGGCCAGCGCTTGGACACAAACTGCAGGTGCTGCCGGGTGCATGTGGCCCCAGGCTGGTCTGGGACAGGCGCATGGGGTGGGGACAGGCTGGGGGGGGGGGTCCCATCCTGAGCCACTGCCCTCCACAGACACAGACCATGGCCTTGCCAACAGCTCGACCCCTGTTGAGGTCCTGCGGGAGCCCCGCCCTTGGCAGCCTGCTGTTCCTGCTCCTCAGCCTCGGTGGGTATTCAGTGGCGCTGCTGGTGAACCGGGGACCCTCGGCAAGGCTTGCCTGCCCCTGCCTTCTCCCCAGGGTGGGCAGGTGTCCTGAGTCCCAGCAGCTGTCTCCTCCCCCGGTGGGGCTCAGGCCACAGTGGGGATGTCGGGATGGGCGTCTGACCGGCCAAGCAGCCGGGTCCCAGGGGAGATGTGGAAGGCTGGGCTCCTGTGCCTGGGGGACTGTGATGTCCAGGGGCCTGAGCAGCTGGCTTCCACCGCTTTGGGGCATGCACAGGGTTGGCTCTGGGAGTGGCCGGGCTCTGCCTCCTTCCTCCCCCGGGTCAGGGCCCACCCCAGAGGCCCAGGCCCCTCTCCAAACTGTCCCCTCTGCTCCTTCAGGATGGGTGCAGCCCTCGAAGGCTTGGACCAGAGAGACAGGGCAGGTAAGATCACCTCTGGGGACACAGGGGAGGTTCTTCAGTTCCCAGTTTGGGGGTGCCTTGACCCCCACACAGTCTGTCATGCACACGGGAACACGTATCCACGGTGCCTGCCCATCTCAGAGGTCCCCACTTGCAAAGGGGTGCCTGGACCTGCACATGACTGGCCTGGGAGCAGCCCGGCCAGGGGAGTTGCAGAGCCCACATTGCAGCTAGGCGGAGGAAGGAGCTGGATCAGAAGTAGCCAGTAGCCAAGCCCATGGGTCCGAGACACACTGGACCTGGGAAGTAGCTAAATTCAGGGAGTACCTGGGACCAGGGGTGGGCGAGCCTGGGAACGCCTGCTCTAGGGAGTAGGGCGGAGCCACAGTCAGCAGGCCATGTGCCCCCAGGAGGCTGCACCCCCGGACCCAGTCCTGGCCAACACGTCTGACATTGCCAGGTGGGTCTGGCGTCTTCACAGCCCTGGAGGAGGAGGCTCAAGGGGCCCTGGGGACTGAGGGTGGGCTGGGTGCCCTGCCCCTGAGTCTCCTGCATCCCAGCATCCCCTCTCCCCACAGCACCCCTCCCCCATGTCCCCTCTCCCTGTGTCCCCTCCCCCACATACCTTCCCCATCCCCTCCCTGAACCCTCCCCATCCCTCCCTCATGTACCCTCCCCCATGTCCCCTCCCCCACGTCCCCTCCCCCCGTGTCCCCTCCCCCACATCCCTTCCCCATCCCCTCCCTGAACCCTCCCCATCGCTTCCTCATGTCACCTCCCCCTTATCCCCTCCCCCATGTCCTCTCCCCATCCCCTCCCTGTCCCCTCTCCGTCCCCTTCCTCATCCCTTCCCTCATTTCCTCACTCCTGTTTCCTCTCCTATGTCTCCTCTATCCCCTCCCTATCCCCTCCCTCATGTCACCATGTCCTCTCTCCCCACATCCCCTCCCCTGAAATCCTCTTCCCTCCACCATCCCCTCCTCCTTTTGCCCTCCATGTCCCCTCCCCGTCCCTTCCCCATCCCCTCCCCTCCCCCTTTCTCCTCTGCTCCACTGCAGATCTGACTGGGCTCAGGGCTGTGGGAGGGACTGACACCCCTAGATGATGGCAACTCCCAGCCCTTGAGGGTGTCCTGGACTTGGGGGGGTCTGCTGAGAGCACCAGGGTCCTTCGGGGAGTGGTGGGGCTGTGGGGCTTGGGGAGCACCAGGCCGGCACTTTGTGGGAGAGGGATCCTGGGTGCCCAGCCCGGCCCCTCCTGCAGCCTCTCCCCTGGCGGCCTGCTTGGCTTCACGTGTGCGGAGGTGTCTGCCCTGAGCTTGGAGAGTGTCCAGGAGCTGGTTGTGTCCTTGGGACAGAAGAACGTCACGCTCTCAGCAGAGCAGGTCAGTCCCGTTGGGCTGCAGCAGGTGGGCAGAGCTGGGGCTAATGAATTCTCTCCCATGCCCACCTTGCCACCACGGTCCCTGCTGTCCCCACTGTCCCTGCTGTCCCCACTGCTATCTCTCCCTGGCCAGTTCTTCCCAGAGTTCCTCTGGCCACCAAAGCTGACCACTAGGCTGCCTGTCCACATCAGGGGCCGGCTCCCCAGGAGCAAGTCTGAGACAACCTTGTGTGCTGGGCCTCTTCCTGGAGCCCCGTGCCAGCCCAAGGGTGAATCTTTTTTGGGGAGTGGGTAAGACCAGGGGAGGGGAGCAGCAGCCAGCTCCAGCCTGTGAGGCCCAGGCCAGGCTCAGGCACCCTCATCCCCCGGGTAGCGCCACAGGCAGCCAGAGACCCGCTGCCATGGATTCTCTCAGATTCCTGTGACCAGCGCTGGGGTGTGTCATGGTGGGTGGACCGGCTGGGCGAACCTGGCCCTGTCCCATGGACGGTGGCCTGGAACGCTCTGTGCTGGCTGCCCTGGCCCCTGCAGCTGCGCTGTCTGGCTCACCGGCTCTCTGAGCCCCCCGAGGACCTGGACGCCCTCCCGCTGGACCTGCTGCTATTCCTCAAGTAGGCCCTGCCCCCCGCCTCCCACCTCCCGCCTCCCGCCTCCCCACCCCAGCTTCTGGCCCCTGCCCCCCACCTTCTGCCCCCCGCCTCCCCACCCCAGCTTCTGGCCCCTGCCCCCCACCTTCTGCCCCCCCGCCTCCCCATCCCAGCTTCTGGCCCCTGCCCCCCACCTTCTGCCTCCCGCCTCCCCACCCCAGCTTCTGCCACCCGCCTCCCCACCCTAGCTTCTGCCTCCCGCCTCCCCACCACAGCTTCTGGCCCCTGCCCCCCACCTTCTGCCCCCCGCCTCCCCACCCCAGCTTCTGGCCCCTGCCCCCCACCTTCTGCCCCCCGCCCTCCCCACCCCAGCTTCTGGCCCCTGCCCCCCACTTTCTGCCCCCCCGCCTCCCCACCCCAGCTTCTGGCCCCTGCCACCCACCTTCTGCCCCCCACCTCCCCACCCCAGCTTCTGGTCCCTGCCCCCCACCTTCTGCCCCCCACCTCCCCACCCCAGCTTCTGCCCCCTGCCCCCCACCTTCTGCCCCCCGTCTCCCCACCCCAGCTTCTGCCCCCTGCCCCCACCTTCTGCCCCCCGTCTTCCCACCCCAGCTTCTGCCCCCCTGCCCCTTGCCCCCCTGCCCCCTGCCCCCTGCCTTCTGCTCCCTGCCTCCCCACCCCAGCTTCTGCCCCCTGCCCCCTGCCCCCCTGCCCTTTGCCCCCTTGTCCCCTTGCCCCTTGCCCCCTGCCCCCTGCTCCCTGCCTCCTGCCTTGGACCCCAGGACACAGCAGAGACATGGAGGCCAGCCCAATCCCCTCTCAGGTTGGGATGAGTGTGGTTAGTGCAGCCTGTCCCCAGCACCCTCTCTCCACAGCCCGGCCGCGTTCTCAGGGTCCCAGGCCTGCACCCGTTTCTTCTCCCGCGTCTTGAAGGCCAATGTGGATCTGCTCCCTCGGGGGGCTCCTGAGCGACAGCGGCTGCTGTTCGCGGCTCTGGCCTGCCGGGTAGGGCCCGGCGCGGTGGGTGCAGGGCGGTGGGGAGAGGCCTCTGCGGTTCCAAAGGCGCTGAGGCCAGCCTCTGTGCAGGGCGCGTGGGGGTCTCTGCTGAGCGGCCGGCCTCTGTGCAGGGCGCGTGGGGGTCTCTGCTGAGCGGCCGGCCTCTGTGCAGGGCGTGCGGGGGTCTCTGCTGAGCGAGGCTGACGTGCGTGCTCTGGGAGGCCTGGCTTGCGACCTGCCCGGGCGCTTCGTGGCCGAGTCGGCAGAGGTGCTGCTACCCCGGCTGGTGCACTGCCTGGGACCCCTGGATCAGGAGCAGCAGGAGGCAGCCAGGACAGCTCTGCAGGGCGGAGCACCCCCCTACGGGTAAGCGAACCTGGAAGGCTTGCCTGGTGGGGTGGTGTGAGCAGCCCTGAATGCGGACACCCACGGCCCCGCCTGGAGGCCCAGGGTCAGCCACTGCCAGCACAACCCCTGCCGATGCCTCCAGCATCCCCTCCACAGCCGGGGGCACAGTGCAGCCTGGCTGTACCCCCCCCATCTGGTGCTGCGCCTGGGGGATCCCTGAGCTGTGCCCCGTGTCTGTACAGCCCCCCGTCAATGTGGTCAGTCTCCACCCTGGACGCTCTGCAGGACCTGCTACCCGTGCTGGGCCAGCCCATCGTCCGCAGCATCCCACAGGTAAGACCCTGACCCCCAGCCTGTGGGGACACCTGGCCGCCCAAGGCTCAGCCGGGGCCCTGCTCGTCCTCAGGGCATCGTGGCTGCGTGGCGAAAACGCTCCTCTCGAGACCCATCCTGGCGGCAGCCTGAACAGACTGTCCTCCATCCGAGGCTCCGGCGGGATGTGGAGAGTGAGAGCCGGGCCCCGTCCTGTCCAGCAGCAGGCTGGGAGCACCCCTGGGGTGGGCAGCTGCAGTGTAGGGTCTCACCTGCCCGCTCCCTGGCTCCCCAGCACATCTCATGGTAACGGCAGAGAGTAGACAGAATCCCGCTGTTTTGCCAGTGGGTAGACTGAGGCACAGAGAAGGTCACAAATTGATCTCATCTCACTGCGGGTGTGGGACGAAGAAGGGGTCAAATGAAGTCCAGCCCCTGACCCCTGACCCCTGACCCCTGTACCCTCCAGAGAAGGCCTGTCCCCCAGGCAAGGTGGCCCACGAGATAGACGAGAACCTCATCTTCTACAAGAAGTGGGAGCTGGAAGCTTGTGTGAACGCGTCCCTGCTGGCCACCCAGATGGACCGCGTGGACGCCATCCCCTTCACCTATGAGCAGCTGGGCATCCTAAAGCAGAAACTGGACGAGGTACCTCACCACTCGGGTTCCTGCCGGCCCCGGCGTCCAGGCCGTCTCCCGTGTTGGAAACGGATGCTCGGTGCCAAAAGAAAACCCAGCACTGAGACAGACGATCTTTCAGCAACGCAGTTTCACTTCCTGGACTGCAGGAAGGGGACCCGCACTGGCCATCTTGCCACGAGAGTACAGTGAACAAAAGAAAACAGACACATTTATCCCTTGTGCTTTTGGGGTCGTCCTTTCTGCTGTGTCTGATCTCCGTTGGCTGGAGCCAGACCTCACAATCTAAACTGAAACTCGAAATTGGCTAACAACTTAACACTTTTCTAAACAGATAAAAGCAGTGGAGAGCTGGGACAGGGCTGTGAGCACGTCCAGTACAGATGTCCTGGTTAAAATACAAGGACACAGGATGCGCTACGTGCCTGTGAGCATGGCTGTCTAACAGCTGCATAGGACAGGGTTTAAAGAAGCTCTTAGCACACTTATTCTTTTTTTTTTGAGACAGAGTTTCGCTCTTGTTACCCAGGCTGGAGTGCAATGGCGCGATCTCGGCTCACCGCAACCTCCACCTCCTGGGTTCAGGCAATTCTCCTGCCTCAGCCTCCCGAGTAGCTGGGATTACAGGCACGCACCACCATGCCCAGCTCATTTTTTGTATTTTTAGTAGAAACGGGGTTTCACTGTGATGACCAGGATGGTCTCGATCTCTTGACCTCATGATCCACCTGCCTCAGCCTCCCAAAGTGCTGGGATTACAGGCTTGAGCCACCGCGCCCGGCCCTAGCACACTTACTCTTTAACAAGGCAACTGTAGACAGGAGCTTTTCCACTTCCCATACCCGCCACCCTGGGAGTAACGCGGCCCTCCTGGTCTTGTGGCCGGCAGCTCTACCCACAGGGCTATCCCGAGCCGGTGATCCAGCACCTGGGCCAGTTCTTCCTAAAGATGAGCCCTGAGGACATTCGAAAGTGGAATGTGACCTCCCTAGAGACCTTGAAGGCTCTGCTCGAAGTCAGCAAGGGGCATGAAATGAGTATTCAGGTGACCACCCGCCTTGGGGCATGTGGGATGAGGCTGTGCAGGCCTGGGAGGACAGAGGGGTGTGGGGGGCGGAGCCTGAGGTTGTGCAGGCCTGGGAGGACAGAGGGGTGTGGGGGGCAGAGCCTGAGGTTGTGCAGGCCTGTGGGGACACAGTCTGAGGTTGTCCTGGCCTGGGGTGGGGGCACAGTCTGAGGTTGTCCAGGCCTGGGAGAGAGGAACACAGCCTGAGGTTGTCCAGGCCTGGGGGACACAGTCTGAGGTTGTCCAGGCCTGGGGTGGGGGCACAGTCTGAGGTTGTCCAGGCCTGGGGTGGGGGCACAGTCTGAGGTTGTCCAGGCCTGGGGGGCGGGGCACAGTCTGAGGTTGTCCAGACCTGAGGGAGAGGAACACAGCCTGAGGTTGTCCAGGCCTGGGAGAGAGGAACACAGCCTGAGGTTGTGCAGGCCTGGTAGGGCAGAGCCTGAGGGGCAGGGGGGAGATGAAGCCTGAGGTTGGGCAGGCTTGGGGTGGGGGGCACAGCCTGAGGTTGTGCTGGTGGTGGAGGGCTCCATCTCTCCCTGCCACGAGGCTCCTCAGTGGCCTCCTCCCACAGGTGGCCACTCTGATTGACCGCTTCATGATGGGAAGGAGCCAGCTAGACAAAGACACCCTGGACACCCTGACTGCCTTCTACCCCGGGTACCTGTGCTTCCTCAGCCCTGAGCAGCTAGGCTCCGTGCCTCCCAGCCTCATCTGGTGAGTCCCCTGAACTCTGCATGGCTAGGTGGGCCCATGTGCTGGCGCTCACTGTCCCTGCAACCTGTCCCCAGGGTGATCAGGCCCCAGGACCTGGACACGTGTGGTCCGAGGCAGCTAGAGGTCCTCTATCCCAAGGCCCGGCTTGCTTTCCAGAACGTGAATGGGTCTGAATACTTCTCGAAGATCCGGGCCTTCCTGGGTGAGCCAGGGAGCCTCTGGCCAGGGTGGCCACACAACACGGCGAGGGGCTACAGGCCTCACTCAGGCTGCCAGGGTAACTGGGTGGTCACTCGCCTGCTGCCCCTGGGGTATGGGTGGCCTTACTGACCCCAGCTCAGGGCTCTAGCTACCTCCAGCGTCTCCCACGTCTCAGAGGGTCAGGTGGCCAGGAAAACCCAGGCCTTGGAATCCCTAAGGAAACAGGGAACCCCTGTAATGCAAGTTTCCTGCAACCTGAGGTCCAGGAGGGGCCGCAGGTGTGAGGTGAGGCCTCAGCTGGGGGCCTCTCTCCCCGTGGGCAGGTGGAGCCCCCACGGAGGACTTGAAGGTGCTCAGTCAGCAGAATGTGAGCATGGACTTGGCCACGTTCATGAAGCTGCGGACGGAAGCGGTGCTGGTACGGCGGGTGGGACGAGGGGCGCGTGCGGAGGAGCCCTGGGGAAGGGGCGCATGGAGGAGGGTGCAAGGGTGGGCTGGAGGGAGTGTAAGGGGTCCACAGTGGGGCGGGGCCACAGTGGGCGGGTGAGCAGGGGGCGGGTCCGCGGGGCGGGCGCGCAGGGGGCGGGGCCACAGTGGGCGGGTCCGCGGGGGCGGGGCCACAGTGGGGCGGGTGCGCAGGGGGCGGGTGCGCAGGGGCGGGGCCACAGTGGGGCGGGTGCGCAGGGGGCGGGGCCACAGTGGGGCGGGTCCGCGGGGGCGGGGATACAGGAAGGGCAGCCCTTGAGTCCGGAGAGGCTGCATTGGGCATCTGTAGGCAGGGCAGTTTGGACACGGGAGACCCTGGCAGCCCTTGGGGCGCTGTGAGAAGGATACCCTCTCTCTGGCAGCCACTGACCGTGGCTGAGGTGCAGAAACTCCTGGGACCCCACGCGGACGGCCTGAAAGCCGAGGAGCGGCACAGCCCAGTACGCGACTGGATCCTGCGGCAGCGGCAGGTCGACCTGGACACGCTGGGGCTGGGGCTGCAGGGTGGCATCCCCAACGGCTACCTCATCCTGGACCGTGGCGTGCGAGGTGTGTGGGGTGTGTGGGGTGTGTGGGTGGCCTGGGCAGGGCTGGGGGCGTGGAGGGGGGGGTGCTCTGAGTCTCCCCTGTCTCCACAGAGGCTCTCTCGGGGACTCCCTGCCTGCTAGGGCCAGGACCTGGACCTGTGCTCACCCTCTTGGCTCTGTTCCTGGCCTCCACCCTGGCCTGAGACCTCCACTCCATTCCTGGCCCCAGCCCCACTGGGGATCCCTGCCTGGCTGGGACCAGGCCTGGCTGGTCCCTGTTCCACACCAGGAGAACTTGGCCTCAGTAAACGGGGATATGCCCCCTGCAGACATACCCTGTGGCCTCTGAGGACTTTGTGTGACCCCATCAGCGTGGCCCCCATCAGCTTGGCTCCTCTCCCTCTGGTGTTTGGCCCCTAGGCCAGGTGAGGGCCCTTGAAGGCCTTCCTGACCCTGGTGCCACTGTGCTGGGGGCCAGGCCAGCACTCTGGGTGGCCCCAGCAGACAGTGGTGGGAGCCCTGTGCCCTCGTCCCCACAGGCCGGGCCCAGGCTAGGACATCCCTGTGCGCCCCCTGCTTAGGCCCCGAGCACAGACACAGGTGGGAACACCAACCTGGACTTTAATTCATATCCACCATCACAGTCAGTGGCTCGAAGCCCCAGCCCCCGCCCACGGCCCTGCCCACGCCCTCCTGCAGGGACCGGGCAGCGTCTTCTGTGGGCAGCCTGGGCCTGTGGATGTGGATGTGTGAGGCACCTCCTCTAGGCCTAGTCCTCAGTCCAGCTCCCAGGGCCTGGAGGAGGGGATGGGCGGCACGGCCTAGGAGGTGGGGCTCAAGTTGGTTGGGGGCTTAGAGCCTGCCCCTCAGCCCAAGTGGGCATCCTGCTGCACCCAGCAGCCCTGTTTTTCCTGCTCCTGACCCCTGTGAACCTAGCCACCCCGAGGCAGCGCTGTCCACAGAACCCAGGGTACCCTGGGGAGCAGAGTGGGACCGGTCCTGAGGTTCCCCAGTGCAGCAGCCACAGGAGGCTGGAGGGCAGGGCCACTGCCAGGGGCAGGTACCCCAGGGGGGCCCACAGGCTGCCTGTAGATGGAACAGGGAGGGCATCATCAGTGTCACCAGACGCTACCCCAGAGCCAACCCCTGGAGCCAGACAGGCCTGAGCAGCTTCTGGGGAGGGTGGGGTCAGCCAGTGAGAATCCTGCCTGCAGTTGGTCTTCTGGGAACCAACAAAGATCTCCGAGCTTCCCCACCCCCACTTTCTGCTGCTCAGTGTTTTCAGGAGGTAGCTGCGCCTCTAAGTAACATGGTGGGCAATGAAGGGTGACGCTGGGGTCCACCAGCATCACCCCAGGAGGCAATGGACAAAGCAGGTGCAAGGTGTGTGGGTGTGGCTGCGAGGCAGGGAATGGGGTCTGAGAGGGCCCTGGGCAGAGGGGGGCCAAGCAGGAGGAGTGCGGGGCCCATACCTGAGGTGGAGGCCTGGGCAGCGTTCCCAGGCAGGCCCGAGGTGTGGGCCGGATGGGGTGCCTGGGGGGTGGTGCTGGGGGGCCCGCTGGTGGCGTGGGCTGAGCCGCTGGGGCTGGCGGGGTCAGTGTCCAGACCCAGCTGGCCTAGGGCGGAGCTACTGAGGCTGCGGAGCCAGGACCTGACGGTGGGGTGGCTGCGTGCCTTCTGCAGGTCCCCCACATTGGGACCCAGCAGCGCAATCACGGTGCCGACATCCAGGCTCTGTGGGGAGGGGCAGGGTCGGAGAGTCCATGGGGCACCTTAGGGCCAGGGGAAGACCCACAGCCCCCAGATTGGGCAGATGGTGGGAGTGAGGCCCAGAAAAGGCCTGGAGCGGGACTGTGGGGGTGTGCCGGCCGTGACCCGTGACCTAGGGCTGTTCCGCCTGGGCCAGCCCTGACCCCCACCCCCATGGGGCAGCCTGGCCCCACCTGCAGCACATGGGGGTTCAGGCTGGCGAAGGTGTCGATGTCCATGGAGATGTTGGCCTGGGCCAGCTGCCGCAGCTCCTCCGCCGGTGCACCGCCTACGGGACAGGGGTGAGCGGGGGCGGGGCTTCTGGGGGGGTGCCCACCCACGGCCAGGGCTCACCGAGGTAAGGGCGCATGAGGCCGTAGTAGGCTGTTGGGGTCCTGCTGCTGCCGAAGGCCTCCTGGGCCTTGGCATAGAGCACATCCTTCCGGCTCTGGGGGCAGGAGGAGACATCCAGGGCCCCGGCCAGCCTGTGGGAGGCGGGAGGCTGAAGAGTGGGCCACCAGCCCCCACCCTTCCAACGGCTGAGCATGGCCCTCCCTTCCCAAACCACAGCTTTCCTCTCCCCTTCTGTCCTAGGGTGAACAGGGTTCCCCCGAATTCACATCCACCCAGAACCTTGCTGGGGAATGAAGTCTTTACAGGTGGGGTAAGATGAGGTCAGACTGGATTACCTGGGCTGGAAACACATGCCTGGGGTCCTCATAAGAACAGGGAGATCTGAGGGCCAGGTGCAGGGCTCTCACCTGGAATCCCAGCACTTTGGGAGGCTGAGACGGGTGAATCACCTGAGGTCAGAAGTTCGAGACCAGCCCGGCCAACATGGTGAAACCCAGTCTCTACTAAAAATACAAAAATTAGCTGGATGTGGTGGCACACGCCTGTAATCCCAACTACTTGGGAGGCTGAGGCAGAAGAATCACTTGAACCCGGGGGAAGAGATGGAGGTTGCAGTGAGCTGAGATCATGCCACCAAACTCCAGCCTGGAGACTCCATCTCAAAAACGAAAACTAAAAGAAAAAGGGAAATCTGAGGGCCAGGTGTGGTGGCTCAGAGTTCGAGGCCAGCCTGGGCAACACAGTGAGACCCCGTCTCTTAAAAAAAAAAAAGAGTAAGAAGGCTGGGCGCGGTGGCTCACACCTGTAATCCCAGCACTTTGGGAGGCTGAGGAGGACCACTTGTGGTCGGGAGTTCAAGACCAGCCTGGCCAGCATGGTGAACCCTGTCTCTACTAAAAATATAAAAATTAGCTGCACATGGTGGCTACTCCTCCCAGCTACTTGGGAGGCTGAGGTGGGAGGATTCCTTGAACCCAGGGGGCAGAGGTTGCAGTGAGGTGAGATTGTGCCACCGTACTGCAGCCTGGGTGACACAGTGAGACTCTTACCTCAAAAAAAAAAAAAAAAAATGAAGTCACCCAGTTTGTGTACGTTGCTTGAAGCTAGAGTCCAGCCCAGGCACCCCTGATGGCCTGGCTGGACCGCTGTCCCTGGCCTCAGTTTCCCCTCATGGTCCTCCTGGGTCTGAGGTGGTGGGGGGTGGGGTCTGGCTCACCGGAGCTCCTGGGGACGGATGGTCTGGATCTGCTGAGGACTCATCCAGCACAGGCGGGCACCCCCGACGGCCAGCAGCAAGGCGCTGGAGACTGTGCCATTGTGATCCAGAAACGTCTGTAGCACGGCCTGGGGGCAGGGGCAGGGCCAGTGGGGCAGACTGGGGCTCGGGCCGCCCACCTGCCCACCCACCTGCCCCCGTGCCCTCACCTCCGTCTGGTTCTCCAGGGCCACGTCTGGGGCCAGCAGAGCCACGACCGTGTCGCTGGAGGTGATATTCCACTGGCCAATCTCGGGGCCTGAGTAGAGGTAGACCAGCGAGGTGATGAGCCGTAGCTGGTCCTCCGGGAGGCCTCCAGGGTAGATCTGGGCAGCGGGGCAGGGCCGGGCAGGGTCAGCAGAGGCGCCACGCCTGCGGCCTCCCCGTCCCTGCAGCCCGGCCGTGCACCTGTGTGAGCTTGGCCTTGACCACGCGCTGGCACTCGGCGGGGAGCGGGTGATGCAGCAGGGGGTCCAGGTTGGCTGTGAGGACGCGGCTGTCCAGGCAGGACTCGAGCTGCGCACAGTCATAGTGCACCAGGAAGAGGTCGTCCCGCAGGGTGGCGGCCGTGATGTTGCCTCGGACGCAGGCTCTCCCTGGGGGTGCGTGGGACCCTGGCCGGTCACCGGGGCCTGGGCCAACCGCCACGGCCAGTTCGGGGCCCGTCATTTTGGTTTTTTTCGAGACGGAGTCTTGCTCTGTCGCCCAGGCTGGAGTGCAGTGGTGTGATCTCGGCTCACTGCAACCTCCATCTCCTGAGTTCAAGCGATTCTCCTGCCTCAGCCTCCCAAGCAGCTGGGAATACAGGCGCCCGCCACCACACCCGGCTAATTTTTGTATTTTTGATAGAGATGAGGTTTTGTCGCGTTGGCCAGGCTGGTCTTGGACTCCTGACCACAGGTCATTCAGTGATTCACCCACCTCAGCCTCCCAAAGTGTGCTGGGATTACAGGAGTGAGCCACCACACGCTGCCTTTTTTTTGAGAGTCTCACTCTGTTGCCCAGGCTGGAGTCCAGTGGGGCAATCTCGGCTGACTGCAATCTCCGCCTCCGGGGTTCAAGCGATTCTCCCACCTCAGCCTCCCAACCAGCTGGGAATACAGGCGCCCGCCACCATGCCCGGCTAATTTTTGTATTTTTAGTAGAGATACGGTTTCGCCATGTTGGCCAGGCTGGTCTTGAACTCCAGACCTCAAGTGATTCGCCTGCCTTGGCCTCCCAGAGCGCTAGGATTACAGGTGTGAGCCACCGAGGCTGGTCCAGGGTCCCTCTTTGACGCCTTCCTCCACTTCTGACCTTGCCTCTCCCTGACTTCTAACCAAGAACTTGGCCCAAAGCACTTCTCTCCGAGGGAGGAGCCGGACTGGGGAGAAGCAGCACCCCAGGCCACGGGGCCATACTGACCTGTGCGGAGCCTGCCCCCGGAGGACAACGGTTTGGCCTTGGACTCCAGGAAGCTGGAGACGAAGCGCCTGGCCTCGTGCTGGCTGAGCCTCCCTGTCCGGCATGCAGCCACCACACTGTGGAAGAAGCCCAGGCCCACGGCCTGGCAGGGCAGGTGTGGGCTGAGGTGGGTGAGGTGGGTGGCCTGGGCCCTGGTGCCACTGCCCGCTTGCGCCCACCCCAAGGACCCTTCCTACCTCCTGCACCTGTGCCCACAGGTGGGAGCTGATGTAAGTAGCCAGGGGGCCCAGGGCCTGCAGCTCCTCCACTGTCCAGGAGCCAGGGGGCCTGTTGCACAGAAAGGGGCGCTGTGTTGGGTCCAGGGTGAGGCCCCAGCCCCCAGGAGCCCCTCGTTCTCCATGGACACCCAGCATGCAGGAGGAGCACCCGGTAGGTGCTTTACCACCCAGCGCCCTGACTGGCACCCATAGGAAGTTCACAGGGCCTGCTGGGACACTCCCACCACAGCCGGGTGGCAGCACCCCAAGCCTCTGCCCTGTGACCCCACCCACCCAAGCTGGGTTCTCCCACCAGCCAGCAGGGAGTTGAGGGCAGTGCGCTGGTCGGCCGTCAGCTGGGGGCAGCGCTGCAGGTTCTCCAGCACACGGGGGTCTGCGGTGGTGATGCTGGATGCGTCCATGTCACACACCAGGACCCCGAGCAGCTGCAGGTCAGAGGCTCTGAGCCGAGGGAGGGGCCCCCCCTGCGGGGCCAGCAGGTCAGCACCCAGCGGGATGCCACCTCCAATGCACCCGGCCCACCCTGCCCAGGTGCCACCAAGCAGGCCACCCCTGCCTCTTATGAGCCCCAGCCCACCCTGCCCAGGTGCCACCAAGCAGGCCACCCCTGCCTCTTATGAGCCCCAGCCCACCCCACCCAGCACCCACTAGGCAGGCCATGGCCGCCCCTCACGTGCCTCGGCCCATCCTACCCAGCACCCACCAAGCAGGCCACAGCTGCGCCCCCCATGTGCATTGGCCCACCCCACCCAGGCACCCACCAGGCAGGCCTCGGCCACTCCCACACATCCCAGCCCACCCCGCCCAGCACCCACCAGGCAGGCCAGGGCTACACGCCACAGGGTGACCCTCTGGTCAGGCAGGTGGTCCAGCAGCTCCACGTCCCCCTGGGCGGCGCGGTGGATGAAGGCCCTGCAGTCGGCTGCTCGCACCTGGCTCAGGCTGCAAGTGGGTGGGAGGCTGTCAGGCCGTCCTGGGGGACAGGGCTGGACCTCCCAGCAGCCCTGAGGTGACCAGGGGCGTTGGGGCCCCGGCAGGGGGCAGGCACTCACTTGTAGAAGAGCAACAGGCTGGGCGGGTGGAGCCTGAAGTCGTCCTGGAGGCCGCAGCGTGATGCCAAGTTGGCCAGGCAGCTGAGCTGTGCGGGAGGGCGCCGGTCACTCCCTCGTTCACTCTGGACTCACCATGGCGGCCGGTGGGCGCCCTTCCCTCTGCCCAGGCCCTCAGGACCCAGTCCCGCATGTCGGGGTCTCGCCACGGCCACCCGTGCTCGCCCCTCTGCCTGGAGAGGTACCCGCACAGCAGAGCAGGCCTCTGAACGGCTGCACCCAGCTTCAAAGCCGCCTCCCCGATGCCAGCCCCCTCCCCAGCCCCCTCACTGACAGGGCATTAAAGCACGCCTCCGGATGCTGGGGGTGTAGACCCTCACCTGTCCCCACCAAGGAGGCCCCACGGTGCCCAGGCTGGGGGCCTCCTCCAGCACATCCCCTAGGCAGCTTCCCAAGTGGACCCTGGGTGGTGCCCCTGGGCTCTGCCCGACAGCCTCCTCCTGGCACCGGGGCTCTGCCAGGCCTGGCCTCTGCCTCCCATCCTCCCGAGACTGCTCACCCTCTCAGCCTGTGCAGGACACTGCCCGCCTCACAGCCACCCCCGCCTAGGTTTGTCTAGCCTGGCTTGGAGGTCGTTTCAAGGGTTTTTGGCCCATTCCTCAGAGGGCCCTTTCCCTGATTGTATGTCAGCCAGGCACCTGGGACTTCAGTGCCCCGATTTCTGTGCAGTCCCTGAGGAGCAGCCCACCCAGCGCAGGGCTCAAGGACCCTCCTGCAGCTGTGCCTCAAAGGAGGCCAGGGAATGGAGCAGCCTCCTGCAGGGTAAGGTCCTCCTGCTGAGAGGGATGGGGAGAAAAACCCTGACTCACAAATGCAGAAAAAACGGTCAGCATATTTGACGATCAAAAGGAAGGCAAAAAGCAGGAGAGGTGGGGCGGCCCAGGCCTGTAATACCAGCACTTTGGGGGGCTGAGGGGGGGCGGCCCAGGCCTGTAATACCAGCACTTTGGGGGGCCGAGGCAGGGGTCACTTGAGCTCAGGAGTTTGGGACCAGCCTGGCCAACACAGTGAGACCCCTGTGTCTACAGGCCAGGTGCTGCGGCTCACGTCTGTAACCCCAGCAGTTTGGGAGGCCAAGGCAGGCGGATCGCTCGAGGTCTGTTGGAGAGTGGCCTGGTGAATGTGGTGAAACCTCATCTCTACTGAAAATACAAAAATAGTAACTGGGCGTGCTGGCACTCTTGTAATCCCACTACCTGGGAGGCTGAGGCAGGAGAGTAGCTTGAACTTGGAAGGCAGAGGTTGCAGTGAGCCGGGATCGCACCCCTGCACCCCAGCCTGGGCAACAGAGCGAGATCTTGTCTCAGTAGTAATAATAAAATTGAAAATGTTTTTAAAAAGAGAAAGGTCAGGCACAGTGGCTCACACCTGTAATCCCAGCACTTTGGGAGGCCAAGTCGGGCGGGTCACATGAGGCCAGGAGTTCAAGACCAGCCTGACCAACATGGTGAAAACCCGTCTCTACTAAAAATACAAAAATTAGCCGGGCCTGGTGGCACACGCCTGTAGTCCCAGCTACCTGGGAGGCCGAGGCAGGAGAATCGCTTGAACCCGGGAGGTGGAGGTTGCGGTGAGCCGAGATGGTGCCACTGCACTCCAGCCTGGGTGACAGAGCGAGACTCTGTCCCAAAAATAAATAAGAGAGGAAAAAAAGACTCCTGCTGGCCATCCCGCCACCCCTCCGTCCTTCAGGCTGTGGCCTCCGGTCTGAATTGGAAGCATTCCGATCTGCTGACTCCGTGTTTTACAAGAGGCTTTATTACTTTAACCGGTTACAAGTGAATCTGAGTCCACCTGTGGCTTATAAGCCCCCAGTTCGAGGTCTCCTGCCTTTTCCGGGGCACGGATTGAAGTCTGCCTGCCCCACGCTCTCCACCTCTGCTTGTAACTCCTGCCTCCCCAGTGCCTGCAAAACCGACCTGCAACCTGACTGACTGGGGTGCACTCGGACCCTGGAGACTGTGTTTCCTCAGCCAGGGCCCCTCACCTTGCTCAGGATAAACCTCTTTATTTTTGAGACGGAGTTTCCCTCTTGTTACCCAGGCTGGAGTGCAATGGCGCAGTCTCGGCTCACCGCAACCTCCGCCTCCTGGGCTCAGGCAGTTCTCCAGCCTCAGCCTCCTGAGTAGCTGGGATTACAGGCACGTGCCACCACGCCCAGCTAATTTTTTGTATTTTTAGTAGAGACGGGGTTTCACCTCATTGACCACGATGGTCTCGATCTCTTGACCTTGTGATCCACCCACCTCGGCCTCCCAAAGTGCTGGGATTACAGGCGTGAGCCACTCCAGGTGGTTTTGAACTTGGCAGGGTGGCTTCCACACATTCCTCCTGCTCCGGGGGCCGCACACCCTGTCCTGGCTGTGGTCACCCTGGGGCCTGCCCCAGCTGTTGATTACCCCTTTCTGACCTCTGACACCTGAGCCAATGTCCCCTTCCCTATCCAGGCCGGTCCCTCAGAACCTCAGCCACCCACCTGCCTTCCTTCCTGCTCACCTGCCAGGCCTGGAGGGGCACCTGCAATGAGGCCAGCCTCCGGATCAGGGCTGAGAGCTGGTCCCGGGGCAGCTGGCTGGCCGGCTGGCACCAGAAGCCTTGCAGCTGGGAGCGGTTGGCACTGGGCAGAGAGGAGGAGATGGTGGCAGGGAGGGTCCGGGAAGGGTGGAGGCAGCTGAGGGGGGCTGCCCAGCGGAAGGGCTCAGGGCACACCCAGCCTGCAGGATCGAGGTCAGACTCCGCCACCCCCAGCACGGAGGGAGGGAGAGCGGGACGTGGCGCCCCCAATGCAGGTAGGATCTGCTTCATTCATGCATTCATTCTTCAGAGCACCCTGTGGGGCCAGGCTCTGCGAAGCATGCAGAGCCCTGCCCAGACCTGGGGTGGCACTTCCTCTCGAGGCCGGGTCCCAGCCAGCTGGGAGCTCAGGAAGCTCCTCCAGCATCCCACAGGCTGCCTGCTGAGGCACCTGAGGTTTGACACCTGCCGGGAGGCCCGGGGAAGCCATGTCCTCAGCCTTCCTTGTGGTGTGACTCTAATCCAGTCTGAACGCAGGGGGCCTTGTGCCACTCGGGACCCCCGCCCTGCCTCGCAGCCCCCCTGGTTAGTCAGCTGACCAGCCTGCACTGTCACCAACTCTGTGGGACGGGGAGGAGGGCCAAGCCCATCCAGGCAGTGTGGGAAGCACAGAGTGTCCTCTGGGGTGGGCGGATGCGGCTGGGCCTGAGGGTTGAGGCCTTGGAGGTTGCTAAGGGGACCCACGCCTGCCTGTGTAGGTCTGAAGCTGGACACTGGACACTGGGTCCTTGGAGGCTGTGGCTCCTGTCCGAGTGACAGCCAGTATATCCTGGGGCCTACTGTGTGCCCTGGCGCTGTCTGAGTCCCAGCTGCCTCGGGACTCAGGAGGGTGGAGCCTAACCCACCTTCCAATGCCCTGGCCAGCCCTGACCGCCGACCGCCCCGCTCCTGGGAGCCTGCTCCCTCACGGCCGCGGGCAGGCCGTGGTGGTTCCTTCGGGGGGTTCCTGTCCACGGGTGGCTGGGCCGTGAGCCCCAAGGCCTGTAGCCTCGGGGTGGAGCAGGAGGTGCTGGTGGCCACCCCCAGAGCCCTCCCGGCCCCTCCTCGGACCTCTCCCCTGGCTGCGCTGAGAAGCCGACCCTGACCGCAAGAGGATCGCACTCACCTGGCCCACAGGTCGGCCCTGCTGGCATCCGTCCCTCCTGGGCAAAGACCCTTGGCCTGGGGCCCAGAACAGTGGGTGGCGAGGGACAGGAGGAGGGTGAGGGTTGAGCTCCGAAGGAAACCTGCAATAAGGCTGGCCGTGAGGGTCCCGGCGGGAGCAGGAGCTGGGGTACCCGGGTCCTGGGGTGGACCTGTGACCCACACTGTCGGGGCCTTCTTGAGGCCAGAGAACATGGAGGAACTTCTGGAGGCTCACAGCACCGGCCACCTGTGCACAGCCTGGGCCTGAGTCCAGGGTGTGTGGTGGGACGAGCATGGGCGTGATGTGTTGATGTGTGAACGTGTGTGTGTGTGTGTGTTGCACTCGTGTGAGAGGCAGGCGCACTGTGGGAGCTCCTTCTCCCTCCACCAGATGCCTCTGGCTCTGTGTCCTCACAGTGCAGCCCCGAGACCCCCATGGCAGAGGAGCTGTGGGGGCAGAAGCCACCTTCAAGGCCCTTGGCTGCTCAGCTGTGCAGTGGGGTCACGGCACGGCCTCCCAGAAGGAACTGGGGGCCCAGCCTGTGTCCCTGCTTCGGAAACCCAGCCCAGGAAGGACCCCCTTATCTTGCTGGCCCTGAGGGGGCAGACCACGTGGCAGAGTCTCTTCTCCAGCATCTGAGGGCTCTGTGGAGCCGGTGTCACCACAGTCCGTACAGATCTGCCCGCGGCCTCCTGGGCTGCTGGGCGCAGCCCACCCTCTCAGGGAGGGTGAGGCACTGGGTGACCCTGGGTGTGGGGTCAGGGTCCCTCTCCACCCTGGCCTCAGACTCAGCCCTGCCTGCGCTGGTCTGTCTCCACTCACCCCCAAGTTTCTCCGGAAGCCACATCCAGCTGCCTGGGCCAGGAGTGGCCCCTTCTTGCCAAGCTTGCCTGCCCTGCCTCATTCCCCACCAGGACCCCCAGTCCTGCTGCGGGCGAGCTGGGCTTATTGTGCCCCGGCAGCCCCACCCCCGGGCGGCTGCTGCTGCTGGGCAGGGCCCACTGTCCTTCCTCAGCTTGGCACAGACGCCGACTCGGGAGGGTGGGGTGGCCAGGGCCCTGGACTCTCCCATGTCTGCGGGATGGTTTTGCCACACGGGCCTGGTACTCAGGAGGCCCCCCTTCCACATGGGGGTCTCGTCTCACCCACTCCGGGGCCCACGTCTGTTTGGCGGTGAGCACTGGTCATCCTGGCTGAGCGTCCTGGGGCAGGTAGGCGCTGGGTCACGGGCAGTGGGTCCAGGACTAGCTGGAGAGGCGAGACGCAGGCTGGCCCCACTGCCCCTCCCATCCCCTGGGGTGCAGAGATGGCGGCAGTGGGGGGGGGGGAACGGTGCAGTCCAGGCTCCCAGGGGTGGCTGGGCCAGAGCTGTGGCTCTCCCACCTTCGAGGGGAAAGGATCCCATAAACAGCAAAAGGCAGTGGCAGGGAGTAAAGCCGGGGAAGCCCTGGGGTCTTTCTTATCATGGGTCGGGGCTCAGGGGACCCACGGGCTGTGGCGTCTCCAATGAGCAGATCTCCCGAAAACAGCGGGTCTCCCAGGCAGCCTGGTGCAGCCCGGCTTCGTCCCCACACCCAGCGGCCCTGGCAGCTCCCTGTCTCTCTCTGGGCCCTAGGTGTCCGGGTCTGTCGCTGACATCTGGCCCCCAGTGACAGCCAGGGTCACTCAGCCCCACTGGAAATGAAAGATGCAAGACCAGGGGCCCAGGAGGAGTCGGTGGGCCACTGCCTTCTCCTGGGCACAGCCTCATGGCTTTTGGGCACTTCTGGGCCTCCTGACTGTGGCCCAAGAGGGAGACAGGGAGGCTGCCCCATGCAGAGGCAGATACAGGGGTTCAGGCCCAGCCATGTGTCTGGACTGCCCTTTGGGTAGGCTGGTGGTGCTCACCTGGGCAGAAACCCTGGCTGCGGCGGGGGAGGTGCTGCCGGGGCGGTGTCGCGGCTGCCTCTGGCAGGGAGTTGCAGACTAGGTGCTCCAGGTGCAATCCCAGCCCGCCAAGTGCGTCAGCCGCTGCCGCTGGGCGCCTGGGTGCAGACGATGTGCAGGGCGGGGGTGCCGGCGTCCCCGCTCACATCCATGCCTGACCTGCAGAGGTGTGAGACTGCCCTGCCCCGCCCAGCCTCACTCCCACGGCGACATCCACCAGGCTGTCCCGTGGGGTAGACCCAGGCTGTGCCAGGCGATGCACTTCAGCCTCTGGGGCCTCAGGCACAGTGGGCACCTGCTTCCTTCCCTGAGTGGAGGCTGAGCTCACAGCTGGCAGCTGCCCAGCTCACACCCCTCCCTACCCACTGGGGCCCTACCCACTGGGGCCCCTGCCTACCCACTGGCGGCGTCTGCACCCCAGGGATTGTATTGTGTACCTGCATCTGAGTCCGCCATGTTTGCTGGTGCTCATGTGTGCACAGGGGCACATGCATCGGCATCTCGGCCCTCCTGGTCTAGGTGCCCGGAGCACGGACATGGATGCAGGGATGTCAGGCACACAGTGACGGCTGTTGCCATTCCATGGGTGCTCCCACGTGTGCACTGTAGGGCACAGACACGGACACGCGTGTCCCTGTGCAGAGATGTCAGGCACACAGTGACAGCTGCAGCCATTCCACGGGTGCTCCTACGTGTGTGCTGTAGGGCTCCACTAGGCAGGCCATGGTGGGAGGAGACAGGAGGGACTTCCCAGCCTGCCTGTACGGCGCCTCCCGCCACCGGGACAGGGTGCTGGCTGCTCCCCGCTGAGCCCCAGCCTGGCCCACCTATCCCAGTTCTTATCTTGGGAGGGGCTCAGCCCCTGCTTGGCAGCCCTGGGCCTGCAGCTCAGGTCAGCTGTGGCACCACCACCCCCGGCACCCACAAGCCAGCCTTGACCCTGATCCGGGTATTGGGGGGCTGACAGCAGGGGGCAAGTGGGTGACTGCTCCCCAGGCTGCACAGGCCCACGGGAACCCAGGTGCCCCTTGGAGAACTGATGGCGAGGTGCAGGCGCCATGAGGGGCGGCGCTCACGCCTGGCTTGTTCAGGAGGGTCCGGCTCAGGACCAACCTCAAAAGCTCCTTGGCCATCAGCTGGGCCAGCCCAGCGGGATGCAGCAGTACTGACAGCTGCAGCCCGTCACAGTGAGGGGCAGTGAGGCCAGCGGCCCCCAGTCTAGATGGTGGGGAGACAGTCCCAGCCGGAGAGGGCAGGGGTGCCTTGCTCCAACTTGGGCTGATTCACAGGACCAGGAGGAAGCCAGGAGACAAGACAGCATGGGGGGTGGGGAGGCCGGGAATGGGTGCCAGAGGGTGACTTTGTCCTGGAGCTGGCCAGCGCGTGGCCTGGGAAGTGATGGGTACGCTGGCCGGGAGGCCTTCGCTGTTACTGTCCATTGGGGAAGAGCTCTGACAGTTGGCGGCCCAGGCCTGAGCTGACATGAGGGTGTGGGCTACACGAGGGTCCCTGGCTTGGTGCAGCCAGGTGCTCCTGTGGTTCTGCTTGTGGGAGCTGGGGGTCACTGGGGGCCTGCCCCAAGGTCTGTACCCAGGCTGCGAGGTGCTTGCTGTATGGGCGAGGGGCCTATGGCAGCCAGGACCACTGCGTCTCTCCTGGGTCCTGCTGGGTGGACTCAGGGCAGGGATGTGCAGGAAGACAGCTAGAAACAGTGTGGGGAGCCAGACCTGTCCCTTGGAACCCCCACTTTGGACACATTCACGGTTACCCTTGAGGCCAGTCACTGAGCATTTATTTGGAGTTCCTGGAACCCCACTGCAGCCAGGGGCCAGGGCTGAGCATGGGGTACAGAGAAGGTGGGACCTGGCAGGCCCACGGAGACAGAGTGGCAACGCCCGGCTGTGCGGGAGCCAGGCAGGTGGTGACATGGCAGGGACTGTAGCTGGGGCCTGGGAGACCCTGCAGCAGGGGCGGTGCTCACGGTGGATACAAGGACAGGTGTGTTCGGCAGGGCCTCGGCCATGGCCCCTGTGCACCAAGCTCAGACTCTGGGCGGAGGAGGGGAGGCCGTGGGTACAGTCAGGCCAAGGCACGTGGCCTGCAGACCCCAGCCCAGCGGGGAGCATTGGGTTTCAGGAGGCGGCGGCTGAGGGCGAGGTTCTGCACAGAGCGGTGAGGGGCAGTGCCTTCAGGATGCAGGGTCTCCCAGGCCAGGTGAGACCAGAACAGCCCTTCCCAGCTGCTCCAGTGGGTAGGTTGGGGCCAGTAGCTGACTGGGCCCCTCCTGGAGGCAAAGGCTAGCCCAAAACCTGGCACTTCCTCTACTGGTGGTGACCTTGAGTCCACAAAACAGATGCCCTGGGGGTGAAGCTTGGGAGCTGGAAGCTGTTCCAGGAGGTGGGAGCAGGCTTGGGGTTTCTCCCGGGCATGTGGGGAGGGAGGCCCTCAGATTCCCCATCAGCCCCATGGTCTCAGTGCCCTATCTTTGCTGGTGACCAGGGATGCCTGGCGCCCCCTGCTGGCCCCTCCTCAGTCCTTCCCCGCAGGCCTGGCCTCGTAGGCTCAGTGGGCCTGAATTCCTTGGCACCTCCAGGCTTCAGAGCCAGTGACCACATGCTTGCTGGCCCATTCCCCGCCCCCACCCCAGCCCCACGGCTCTCAGCTGTCCGGCTCCAACGTCCACTCCGACAGCCACTGTAGGCAGGAGGCTCGCTGTGTCTCGGTCTCGGGGGGCTTGGTCGGGGGTGGTGGGGGCCGGCCAGGCCCAGGCAGGAGCACGGAGGGGCTGCCCGGCCTGGGGGTCCCATCCTTAGAGTCAGGGTCAGGGGTGGCCCGTAAGGCCTGCACCAGCTGGTCCAGCGGCTGCAGCAGGGTGTGGGGGCTCCAGCAGGCGTCCAGGGAGGGCAGGAATGGGTCGGGCGTGCAGGCCTCCACGCACTCGCCGTCCGTGGGAATGCGGAGGTAGAGGGCGTGCAGCATCATTCGGAACGGCCGGTCCTCCCGGCCCGAGGGCTCTCCGTAGGTCAGGTCGCCCACCACGGGGTGGCCCAGAGCACTGCAGTGCACACGCAGTTGGTGCGTCCGACCTGCGGGGAGAGCGGTGCCGGTCAGCTGGGGGCGGAAGTCGCCCCTTGGGTTGGAGCTCTCCCTGTCCCCTGCCATGGGCGGGATAGCAGTGTTCCCAACATGACTAGGGTGGCGCTCAGTCCTGGAGGATCCAGGCCAGCCAGACCCCCCCAGCACTGTCGGGAGCCAGCAGGGAGCCCATGTCAGGTAAGAGGCTGAGAGGCCGCAGGGCACGGAGCTGCGAGCAGGAATGCTTGCTGCCAGCTCTGACTTGAGGCTTAGAGTGACATAACACAGGCTACGTGGACTCGTGTCTCAGTTTCCCTTCCGTCACCAGCGGGAGACCACCCACCCCAGACACACCTGTGAGAGGCTTCAGCAGGACTTTGGAGACGGGATCGCCTGCGTACAGCCCGTGCTCCAGAACCACCAGCTCTGTCAGGCTTGGCTTGGGGTTCTCACAACCTGGGGTATGCAGAAGGCAGGGGTGCAGTCAGCCAGGCTAGCCCGGGGCCCAGGCCCACCCAACCCACGATGCCTGCCCGGTTGATCCCTGTCTGCTCAGGTCCACCCCAACCCAGCATGTCCACCCACTTGGTCCCTGCCCATCCAGTCCCATCCAGTCCCACCCATGATGCCCACCCGCTTAGTCCCTGCCTGCCGCACCCTGCGTGCCCTCGATGCACATGGTGTGGGCCCGGCCTTCTGTGCTGTTCCTGCCGATGGCGTGGCTGATGGTCACCCGGCTCTCTTGGATGTGCCCCCGAAGCTGCAGGGTTGGGGGGTATCACACGCAGATCACGGGACAGCCCGCCACTTCTGGGGAGCCCACCTAACACGAAGCAGCCATGTAGCATGCAGTGGGATGCTCTGAGCCAGGGCCTGCCCAAGTGCGCTGGGAGGCCTGAGTCCCCGCACCCCGTCCCCGGACTGACCAGGTCTTACCAGTGCCAGATAAGCCTTGGTCACGCGCCGCTCCTTGAAGCTCCTGTATGCGCTGCCGGCGGCTGCCTTGTTCAGGGCCACGCACAGCGCCCCGCTGGTGGAGAAATCCAGCTGGTGGCAGAACCTGTGGTGGGGCAGAGTCCAGCGTCTGAACCACTTCCCTCCACAGACGCTGTGGTGGGGCTCGGGCCACCCGCCTACCTGAATCCATAGCAGGTGCCGGGGTCCGCCAGCTCCGGGAAGCGGTGCCGCAGCTGCTTCTGCAGGGTCAGGGTCTCCCGCCACGTCTTGCTGTCAATGCGAAGGTCCCAGTGCTTGTTCACCACCAGGAAGTCGTGGCTCCGGTACACGATGGACAGGTTCTCCACGCTGCCCGGCTCCATGGCGGGCCTGCTGAGCCACGCGTGGGTGGGTGTGCGGTGAGCACGTGGGAGGTGCCCATCCCACAGACGTCCCCGTCCCCCGGGTTCCGGTGCAAAGCCACCGAGCCAGGCGCGCAGACCTACTGTGCAGCTGCACCCACTCCCCACGGTGAGGCCGGGGAGTCGGCCTGCTCGGGACCGACCAGAGGGGCCCTGCCCGACCCAGGCCCGGAGAAACAGCCGTTCCGAGCCCGCCCCGCAGAGCCTTCCCCATAGACCCTCCTCTCCAGGGAATGCACCTGACGGCCTCTGCCCGACGGCGGGGGCGGGAAAGGACCACAGCAACCCTGGGGCCGAGCAGCCAGGTCAGCCCGGGGCGCGCGGCAGGGCTGGGGCCTCCTCGCTCCCCGCAGCCCGCGAAGACCCGCGCCCCGCACAGGCCCGGTGTGCGGGCAAACCCTGGCTCCGAGCCCCTCCCGCGCCCCCGCCCACGCCAAGGCCGACCTGCTGCCGAGCCGCGCCGTCCAAGCCCCCGATGTCGTGCCCGGAGCCCGCTCTAGCCCTGCGCCCGCGCGCTCCCGACCCAGTGATCCTGGAACCGCGCGCGACTCCAGACGCCCAGCAGCGCCCCCGCCCTGCCCCGCTGCGCGCGGAGCCCCGCCTTCTCCCCGCCCCCGCCGCGGAAGGGCGGCTGCGCCGGCCAATGGCGAGCTCCCCAGGGCCAGCCGCGGCGACTGGGCGGGGGGTCAAGAACTCGCCCCGCCCACCACACGCTCAGCCCCGCCTCCTCCCCGCCTACCAATGGCGAGGGCCGTTGGGCACGGCGGCCGCTGATTGGCGGCGCTCGGCACGCTCGGCACGCTCGGGGCGGGCGGCGCGCGGCGGCGACGGCGGCGCGGGAGATTCGGAGCGGGAGCCGGGTCTCGCGGACGGCATGGAGGACTACGAGCAGGAGCTGTGCGGCGTGGAGGATGACTTCCACAGCCAGTTCGCGGCAGAGCTGGAGGTGCTGGCCGAGCTGGAAGGTGGGGCGCGGCCCCCGGCAGGGACGGCTCTCCGGAGGCGGCGTGGCCGCACGGCCCGCGGTCGGAAGCCGGGACGGAGGCCACTTCGGGGGGGGCGCGCCGGGGGCCGGTGGGGCTTCCCGGCCGCGGCTGGCGGGGTCTGTCCCGGGGCGGCCGCCGAGACCCTCCTCTCCCGGCAGGGGCGTCGACTCCATCGCCCTCCGGGGTCCCCCCGCCCCCTGCGGGCCGGCCCCCGCGGACGTTCGAGGAGGCCCTCGCCGGAGGGGACGCGGCCTCCCGCGTCGCCCCAGCCGCCCCTCCGGGCAGCAGCCGGGGCCGCGCCAGGAAGAGGCAGGTGCACGCGGAGCCGCAGCCGGCCGGGTCCCCGCCCCGCAGTAGGTCGCGGCGTTGCCCCGGGGCCTCGGGGTGGGCGCGGGGCTGGCGAGGCCGCTGGCTCCTTCCCTGTCTCCCGCAGCCCCCGGGATCAAACGGCCCAGGCTGCAGGTGGTCAAGAGGCTGAACTTCAAGTCCGAGGAGTCGGAGGGGCCGCCCCCGCCCGACGCCCCCCCGAGGGACATCACCCCTCCGCCTGGCCCTGAGGACCTCGCCGAGCTGTGGGGCCATCGGTGTGTCCCGCCCCGTTTGTCTTGTGGGACTCAGATGGAGCCCTCCTGTTTCCTGGAAGAGGCCTGGGGCATGGGGAGGGTTTCGTGGCTCAGGGTGGCATCGGACACTTCTGTGCACTGGTGACCCGAGGCTTGAGTTTCTGCCATTGATGCCTGGTCTCCCCCCAGAGCCTCAGATGCTGCTGCCGACGTGGGTCTCACACAGGCCTCACCAGCCCCCCGAAATCCTGTCCTGAGACGGCCCCCCATCTTGGAGGACTATGTCCACGTGACATCCACGGAGGGCATCCGGGCCTTTCTGGTGCTGCGTGCTGACCCCGTGGGCACAGGGGTGCAGGTGAGTGCAGCGACACGTCCGTGGCCTGGGGCTGCCGGTGGCTGTGGACTTCCCACATGGCGCATGGGCCGGTGCTGCTCAGGAAAGGGTCCTGGGAGCCCTCACCTGTGCCGTTTGCTTAAAGCGGGTCCCGTGCACGCTGCCAGGGGCTGCAGAGGGGCAGGCTGCTTCATGGGGTGCTGCAGGGTCCAGCCCCACAGGGTCTAGTGGGTGTTTTTTTGCGTGCGGAGACGATAGATCTTAGAAAAGAGAGATGCAAGATGCGGACATAAGAGAACTCAGCTGGGTTGGGGGCCACTGTTACCGAGCCGCGGAGTCCAGCAGTGGCTCCGAATGCCTGGACGCTGATATTTATTGTCTTTGAGGCAGGGGCAGGGTAAGGAGAGTGAATTATCTGACATGATTGGTAGGTGTCAAGCAAGTCACATTCTTTTTTTTTTGAGACGGAGTTTCACTCTTGTTACCCAGGCTGGGTGCAATGGCGCGATCTCGGCTCACCGCAACCTCCGCCTCCTGGGTTCAGGCAATTCTCCTGCCTCAGCCTCCCGAGTAGCTGGGATTACAGGCACGCGCCACCATGCCCAGCTCATTTTTTGTATTTTTAGTAGAGACGGGGTTTCACCGTGATGACCAGGATGGTCTCGATCTCTTGACCTCGTGATCCACCCGCCTCGGCCTCCCAAGCAAATCACATTGTTACAATGGGGGGCGCGCAGTGGGTGCTGTGCAGAGGGCCCTTCCCTCTCAGGCAGCTTGCGCAAGGAGGGGAGGCACCTATATCAGTTTCTTTCTATGAACTTATCAGAGAGATCAGAGGCTTTTTAGGATTCCTATATTCCTGCTTCTCACAGCTTCTGAGAATTTACACGGGGGCATTGGGTGGGAAAGTGGAACGTGAAGGTGACCGTCGGAGCGCAGCCCCACAGAGAGGGTTTAACCCCCTGGATGTCTGTGGGCCGGCCTGGCTAGTGTCAGACAGAGTTTTCTCGGAAACTCCCCCTCAAGGCCTGCTAAGTAACGGGCGCCTTCCCAGGCACTGGCGCTACCACAAGGCTCTCGCTCTCACCTCCTGATCACTTCTCACAATGTCCCTTCGGTTCCTAATTATGTGTCACCCCATTATGTCTGTTTTATAAAATTAAAAATATTATTATAGTAAAGTGAAGATGGGTAGAGAAAGTGATGTAATAAGATGGATTACGTATTTGAACGTGGTGTCTATTTGGTGTCGTTTGGCCTCTTAAGCTGCAACTGACCAGTAAGTTTGTCTGGTGTGTTGCTGTATCTGAGTAATCATTTGTCACGCTGGGACAGTGTGCCTCAGTGTCTTGCTGTGGCACCCGGGCAGCTTTCTTCCTGCAGGGTGCAGCCTTAGAGGACACAGCCTCCCCACCCCCAGGCTGCTGTCCAGCCTGTTTGTGTGGCCTGGGGGTGGACAGGGCCTCCTCCCCGCTTCCCCCTCCCACGTTTGCCCTCCCTTTTCTCCTACCTGGTGAAGCTGCCCCTTGTTTCCCCTCTGTAGATGCCCCATCTGGGTGGCTTCCTTCCTTTGGCTCCCCTGCCCAGTCTCCCACCCCCCACTGGCCAGCTTACTGGGGTTGTCTCACCTGGGGCCCTGAGCGCTGAGGGGGCTGAGGTGAACCCCTTGACCTGGGAGGGCTCCAGAGGCAACTGTGTCCCTCCCTTCCCCACAGAGTCCTCTCCCCCACGTCCCATGGCGAGGCGGTGGCCAGCTGGACCTGTTGGGTGTATCCTTCGCCTCCCTGAAGGAGCAGGTTGACAGTGAGGTTGGAGCTGAAGGTTTGCTGGGGAGGTGGGGGGGTGCTGGGGCCGCCTGAGCCCTCCTCATCCCAGCCTGTGTTTGCACAGCGGCGGCAGCGGCTGCTTCAGGAGGCCCAGCAGCTCTCAGACACCCTGCACAGGTGACGCGGCCGGCCCCTCTGCCCCGGGGACCCTTTTGGGCTCTTGTATCAACTCCTAGCTCGTGTTTGTGGGGTGTGGGTCAGCATGGTTCCCTGTGAGGGGTTTGTGGCTCAGGACAGGGTCCTCTCCAGCCTCAGGTCAGAGGAGGAGGCAGCGCAGCCTGTGGGAGCCCCCGAGGAGGAGCTGGCTGCCGGCCAGGACACCTCCCCTCACTGCCTCTGGGTGGACGAGTTTGCGCCCCAGCACTACACGGAGCTGCTCAGTGACGACGTGAGGTCTTCTTCTCGCTCAAGTGTGACTGGCTCCCTCTGTTCCCACGATGGAAGGACCCGGGCCTGCTGGCCTTTGCACAGCCAGTTGGCTGGGCCTCAGGGATGGAGCAGGGACTCTGGTCTGCCCCCTGGAGCTGTAGGCGGGGAGCTGAGCACAGGGCTGTGTGCTGCTGGCCTCCTGTGACCTGTGAGCCGGGCCAGGGGTCCAGGTTGTCCCTGATCCAAGTCTCTGTCCCCTTTCCCACCTTCACAGCAGCCCACACTGGGGTGCCCCTGGGGAGGGCGGGGGCCTCCCAGATGGGCCGGGGACAGAGCCCCTGGTGTGAGCCTCTCGGTCACTCACTCGCAGGGAGACGGGGGTGGCCGTTCGTCCTGAGGCTGGGTGTCCCATTGGGGTCCCGGGGCTCACAGTGGCAGGCTGACTTCCCGTGCCTGGAGGTGGTGCCCTCAGGCTGTGCGTCCCCTCCCTCAGTTCACCAACCGCTGCTTGCTCAAGTGGCTGAAGCTGTGGGACCTGGTGGTGTTTGGCCACGAGAGGCCTGCCCGGAAGCCCAGGCCCAGTGTTGAGCCGGCCCGGGCCAGCAAGGAGGCCACGGCCCCAGTCAAGTGGAAGAGCCATGAGCAGGTGCTGGAGGAGGTGCTGGAGGCTGGACTGGACCCGAGCCAGCGGCCGCGGCACAAGGTGAGCCCTGCTGGCCACGCGCCAGCACCAAGCCTGAGGCTTTGCACTTGGTTCCAGGCACCTGGAAGCCTCCGGGTTCTCTAAGGCTTTTCCTAGGAGGCTGGGTGTGGTGACCTGAGGGTCTTGGTGTGAAACACCATTAGTAGCAGTTAGAACTGGAATCTGTTTCAGTGACAGCTCGGGGGAAGTCAGTGCCCCTGAAGGGCTCTGCGTCTGGCCAGGATCATCTGGTGGACGGTGGGTGGTTTCTGGGGGCCGGGCATGTGGGTGCCGGCTGTGTCTCGTCTGCACAAGCCTTACTCTGCATGGGGTTTTTTCTGCGGCCTTCTTGGTGCGTGAATGTGGCCAGTTTTGTCTTGTTTGTGGGGTGGGGAGCGCCCAGCCTGTGGGGCACACGTTACCATCCCTGGCTGCTGGCCGGCGCGTCCTGGGGATGTGGTGCACACCACGTCTCTGTCTCCCTGGGCTGCAGGTGGCACTGCTGTGTGGGCCCCCGGGGCTGGGGAAGACCACCCTGGCACACGTGATTGCGCGGCACGCGGGGTACTCTGTGGTGGAGATGAACGCTAGGTGGGTGGCTCTTACGTCTGTCCTGGTGTGTTTCAGTTCTGGCTGTGGAGCTGAGACCAGGGATGGATGCTCCTGACACTCCTGTCTTGAGGGTGGGGGTGGCCTGGGCCTGTGGGCTTGGGAAATGTGTCCTTCCTCGGGATTCACGGGGTCACTGCAGCCACGTCACGTGGCAGCCTCAGTGTAGGGATGGCAGCCCTGGTCTTGGGAGGCTACCCTGCCCGGGACACTGGCTGCCCTGATCCTGGACCTCACTGTTCCAGTGACGACCGCAGTCCCGAGATCTTCCGCACACGCATCGAGGCGGCGACGCAGATGGAGTCTGTGCTGGGTGCTAGCGGGAAGCCCAACTGCCTGGTCATCGATGAGATCGACGGGGCCCCTATGGTGGGCTCCCTGATGCCTGGGTGGGAGGGTGGGCGGGCACCGGGGCCTAGGCTCACAGTCTGCTTCGCCTCCCCCAAGGCTGCCATCAATGTCCTCCTGAGCATCGTGAACCGCAAGGGCCCACGGGAGGCGGAGCTCCAGGGCCAGGCCATGCCTTTGAGTGGTGGCCGGCGGCGCAGGGCAGAGGGGGGGATCCTGATGAGGCCCATTATCTGCATTTGCAATGACCAGTGAGTGTGTGGGCGGGTGCTGCGGTCAGGAGAGGCCCCGGTGCCTGGAGGGAGGGTCCGGCCCCTGCCGTGCCCCGGGCTGTGGTGCCCACCCTGGGTCCCTGGCGCTGCTGCCTCTCCTCAGGTTCTCACCGTCCCTGCGGCAGCTGAAGCAGCAGGCCCTCCTGCTGCACTTCCCGCCGACTCTGCCCTCAAGACTGGTGCAGCGTCTCCAGGAGGTCAGTGGGGCCCAGGGAGCCGCTCGGCTAACGCAGGGTTGGGGGTGTGGCTTCGTCCTAGCCCCGGTTTCCCTGTCCCCTCTCTGTGGAGCCCGTGGTAACTCCGGCAGGATGGGGCATACAGTGGGGCCCTCCGCAGCCTACTTCTCCCGCAGGTCTCCCTGCGGCGGGGACTGAAGGCCGACCCCGGGGTGCTGGCCGCCCTCTGCGAGAAAACTGACAATGACATTCGGGCTTGCATCAACACCCTGCAGGTTGGAGGCAGGCAGGCGCCGGGTGGGGCGGGAAGGGGTCGGGAGTTGGCTGCCTCTTATGCTTCCCCCACTTGTCCAGTTTTTGCACAGCCGGGGCCAGCGGGAGCTGAGTGTGCGGGACGTGCGGGCCACACGTGTGGGCGTCAAGGACCAGCGCAGAGGGCTCTTCTCGGTGTGGCAGGAGGTCTTCCAGCTGCCTCGAGCCCAGAGGTAGGCGGCATGGTCTTGGCTCAGACAGCCATGGTGCCTGGACCCCAGGATGCTGGCCCTCTGTGCAGACCAGCACAACCGAGTCGGGGACTCTGAGTCCTGAGCCCGTGGCTGCCTGCCAGCCTCCAGGGCCCTCCTGGCCTTTCCCTGGCTTGTTCTCACCACTCAGCCTTGGTGGCTCAGCCACGGAAGCCACCAGGGCCCCTGTGGGAAGGCCGCCCTGATTCAGTGGGGCCCCCAGGGCACCCCTTGGCTCGACTTCCACCCTCAGTTTTGCCACATTGGGCCTGGGCTGTGGTCTCTGCTCCTGCCTGCCCGTACTGTGAGGCCCCCTGTGGGCGGGAGCAGCCAGCATGCCTCTGTGTGACCTGGTGCAGGGCCACAGGGGGTGCTGGTCTGGTTGTGCCTTGGGGCATGAGAGGTGCCAGGCTGGGGCTGCAGGACGTGCTGCTCCTGGCCTGGACCCCGGGTTGGGGGGGGCACCCTGGGGTCTTCTGGACCCAGAGGGTCAGTCAGGGCTCCTCCTCACATTTAGTGAGGTTTTCAGGGGGTCGAGGGCAGGTTATGTCCCCAGCTGTCTCAACGTGAGCGAGGGAGCAAGGGCCCTGCTGAGAAGCGTGGAGTGGGGGTGCCTTTGGGAGGCATGGGCCTACCTTTGCTTGCACACGGGCCTGTCCAGCTTCAGCCCCCCCATCTGTAGGCGCCGTGTGAGCCAGGATCCTGCCCTGCCTACCGACACGCTCCTGCTGGGTGACGGGGACGTGGGCTCCCTCACCTCGGCCTCACAGCGATTCTACCACGTCCTGCACGCGGCTGCCTCTGCGGGCGAGCACGAGAAGGTGGTCCAGGTACCTGCCCTCCACCAAAATCCCTGCTGGAGGCTGCTTGGCCAGGACCTGGGCTGTGGCCTTGCCCCTCCCAGCCCTCCAGGAGGATGGGGAGATGCTTCGGGGTGCTGATAGAGAGAGAGGCAGGCGTTGGGAGATGGGGCACCAGCAGGCCTCCGAGGTCCGGAGCCGGAGCCCGGAGGAGGGGAGGGCTGCAGGGTATGGGCCCTCAGCAGGCAAGGAGGGAGGGAGTGGGCGTCTGACTGGGGAGGGTGCGGTGGAGGCTGCTTGGGACTCTCAGCCAGTTGGGGTAGAGCCTCTGCCTGACCGCCTAGCCTGGCGCTGTGAGGGCCAGGCACGTGGGGTGGAGAGCAGGGCAGTGAGGTCTAGGCCTGAGCAAGCGGCAGAGGTCTCCCTGTCGCCCTGCCCCCGGAAGGCCCTGGCTAAGCTGCCTACCAACAACTCTAAGCGGCTTTGGATCAGCGACTGGGGATCCACAACCAATCCTCAAATCTGTGGTGTAGAGAGGTGGTGTGTGGGGGGGTGTGGAGCAGCGGGGGTGGGGTGGAGCAGCGGGGGCGGTGCGGAGCAGCGGGGGCGGTGGACTCCCCTGCAGAATGTGGGGGGTTCCATGCCCTGGATTCTGGTGGATGGAGCTTCCTCAGGCAGTCTAAGATGAGGCTGAGTGAGGCTGGACCGCTTTGGCTCCTGGAGGCCACCCCGTGGGCGGTTAAGCCTCTGTCAAGCTGGAGTGGGGGTGCTCAGGGGTGGGCGGGGGCGTGAGGGCAGGAGCTCAGGGTTGCCCTGGGGTGGGCGGGGGCGTGAGGGGCAGGAGCTTAGGGTTGCCCTGGGGTGGGTGAGGGCGTGAGGGGCAGAAGCTCAGGGTTGCCCTGGGGTGGGTGGGGGCGTGAGGGGCAGAAGCTCAGGGTTGCCTTGGGGTGGGCGGGGGCGTGAGGGCAGGAGCTCAGGGTTGCCCTGGGGTGGGCAGGGGCGTGAGGGGCAGGAGCTCAGGGTTGCCCTGGGGTGGGCGGGGGCGTGAGGGGCAGAAGCTCAGGGTTGCCCTGGGGCGTGAGGGGCAGGAGCTCAGGGTTGCCCTGGGGTGGGCGGGGGCGTGAGGGCAGGAGCTCAGGGTTGCCCTGGGGTGGGCGGGGGCGTGAGGGCAGGAGCTCAGGGTTGCCCTGGGGTGGGCGGGGGCGTGAGGGCAGGAGCTCAGGGTTGCCCTGGGGTGGGCGGGGGCGTGAGGGCAGGAGCTCAGGGTTGCCCTGGGGTGGGCGGGGGCGTGAGGGCAGGAGCTCAGGGTTGCCCTGGGGTGGGCGGGGGCGTGAGGGCAGGAGCTCAGGGTTGCCCTGGGGTGGGCGGGGGCGTGAGGGCAGGAGCTCAGGGTTTCCGGCCACCTGTAGGGCTTGTTCGACAACTTCCTGCGCTTGCGGCTGCGAGACTCCAGCCTCGACGCTGTGTGCGTGGCCCTCGACTGGCTGGCCTTTGACGACCTGCTGGCACGGGCTGCCCACCACAGCCAGAGCTTCCAGCTGCTGCGCTACCCACCCTTCCTGCCCGTGGCCTTCCACGTGCTGTTTGCCTCCAGCCACACGCCCAGGATCACCTTCCCCAGCAGCCAGCAGGAGGTGTGTCTGCCCCAGCCCCCTGTGCCGTCCGTCTGTGTGGCTGCACCCCTCCCGTTTCCCCACCTGGCCTGGGAGGCCCCCGTGACCAGGCCTTGGGTCACCCACTGCCCCAGGCCCAGAACCGGATGAGCCAGATGAGGAACCTGATCCAGACGCTGGTGTCCGGCATTGTGCCAGCCACGCGAAGCCGGGCCACGCCCCAGGCCCTGCTCCTGGACGCCCTCTGCCTGCTCCTGGACATTCTCACACCCAAGCTCCGCCCTGTGAGTGTCCTTCCCGGGGTGGGGGACTCCCCACCTGCTGCACCCCCACCCCAGGTGAGCACACAGCAGTACAGCCTGCTCAGCCCCCCGCCTGCTGCCCCACCCAGGTCAGCACGCAACTGTACAGTGTCCGCGAGAAACAACAGCTGGCCAGCCTGGTGGGCACGATGCTTGCCTATAGCCTGACCTACTGCCAGGAGCGCACGCCCGACGGGCAGTATGTCTACAGGCTTGAGCCGTGAGTCCCCCGGCGCCTGGGGTGGGGGACTGGGGGCGGCACTCCAGGTGCCAAGGCCCACGTGGGACCAGGAGTCTGAGAGCACAGTCATGGGAGGGTGTCTGGGGGTGGTGGGCCCAGCGCAGCCTTTGCTCAGATGTGACTGAGAGGCTGGGCACAGCCCTGGGACCAGAGTTCTACAGAGCTGCTCCCTGCCTTGGCGTCCCCACACGGAGCTGGAGCCAGGCGGCCTTGAGAGTGCCTCGCTTCCTAAGGCCGAGGCCCACTGTGGGTTCGCCACGGGGTGGCGGGGCTGAGGCACCGGGCAGTGGCCCCAGGGTCCTGCTGCTCCAGCGACGGGACTGGCATGCAGGACGCCAAGTCACTCTGTGAAACCCTTGGCAGGTTTCATTGTTATCCCCTGTACGCTTGCAGTTGGGGAAACTGAGGCTCAGGGCTGTGAAACCCGGTTGCTGCAGGGCAGGGGTGCAGTGGCGCCAGGACTCAACCCCACATTCCCACTCCGGTGTGGCATTGGAGTTTTCGGTTGGAGCACCCGGCGGGTCTCTGGCCCTGGGCCTGGCCCCCACTGACCAGTGCCCTGGTGCCTGCCCACCCTGAGCAGGAACGTGGAGGAGCTCTGCCGCTTCCCTGAGCTGCCTGCCCGCAAGCCCCTCACCTACCAGGCCAAGCAGCTCATTGCCCGAGAGATTGAGGTGGAGAAGATGCGGCGGGCAGAGGCTTCAGCCCAGGCAGGGAACAGCCCCCAGGTGAGCCCACCCAGGTTCTGGAGCAGGTTGGGGCCTGGGCATGGACCATCCCCACCGTAGCCCTGTGTGGCCAATCCTGACAGTGCCTGTTCCCTGCAGGTGGATGGGAGCCCCCCAGGGCTCAAGGGTCTGCTGGGGGGCAGTGGGGAGAAAGGGGTGCGGCGACCTGCCCCACGAAACCACGAGCAGCGGCTGGAGCACATCATGAGGCGCGCGGCACCAGAGGAGCAGGTGCGGAAGGGGCAGTAGCAGGGGCGGGGCCGGGGCAGCCATGGGGCGGGGCTCGGGTACCTTTGCGGTGGGGCTGGGGCAGCCGTGGGGCAGGGCCAGAGTACCTTTGGGGGTGGGGGTGGGGCTGAGCCACAGGAGGAGTCTGCCTTGGGGTGGGGCTGGCTCAGTGCCCTAAGTGGGGGTTCTGAAGGACCAGCTCCCCACTGTCAGCACCACCAGGGTTCCACCTGGGCCTGTGTCCTGCCTGGGCAGAAGAGTGTCCCTATTGGTTTACTGCCGGGTTCCTGTCTGAGGAGTAGATCGCAATGAGGGGTGGGGGGTGCTGGCCTGGGCCAGGTTGGGAAAGGTGTCTCAGAGGCGCTCCGGGCCCTCCTCCCTGGAAAGGCCCTCGGTCCTCCCATCGTTGGCAGGGGCTGCATGGGGTGTCTGCCCTACGGGGCTGACCAACCCCGTTTCCCCATCAGCCTGAGAGGGACTTCTTTGGACGTGTGGTGGTCAGGAGCGTGGCAGCGCCGAGTGCAGGTGTGTGTGGGGCTTTGCAAGGTTGCGGGGGACCTGGGGTGCCGGGGTCCAGCTGAGGAGCAACGCTGCGGCCCCACAGGGGACACGGCCCCGGAGCAGGACTCAGCGGAGCGGCGCATGGGCACAGCGGTGGGCAGGAGCGAGGTCTGGTTCCGCTTCAACGAGGGCGTCTCCAACGCGGTGCGGCGCAGCGTGTACATCAGAGACTTGCTCTAGTTTCCTCTGACCCGGAGACGGCGCGGAGGGACGGAAACCCGGACGCTTTCATAAAGTCACACCTTTACAGACCGCAGTCATGCGCGAGTGGCGTGGGCTCACGGGATGGTGGGAGCGGGAGGGGCCGGGCGGAGCCCACGGGACTGTGGAAGGGGGGATGGGCGGAGCCCACGGGACGGTGGGAGTGGGCCGGGTGCCGGCTCACAGGATGGTGCACTTGCCCTTCTCCACCCACGGGTTGTTCTTCATCAGGTCGGGGTTCAGGAAAGGGTCTTTGGGGATCCCATCCTCAATCCACTTCAGCAGCCTGTGGGTGGGCGGGTGGAAGGTGAGGGGTGGCACCTGGCCCCCGAGGGCCGCCTGCTGCACCTGCCCGTCGGCGCTGGTCCTGGCTATGAAAATGAGCGGCCAGTGCGGGGCAGAGAAACCAGAGGCAAATGAGGCGGGTGGGGCACTCACTCGGGGATGGTCTTGGAGGCCATCTCTCGCTGGTAGGACAGCTGGTACTTGAGGCTCTCCACCTCCTTTTTCATCTGAGGCACGTCCCACTCCTCCATGGCGTCGGGGGCTTCTGAAGCAGCCAGCCTGGGGCTGGAGAGCACAGGAGGAAGCCGCAGAACCAAGGCCACCAGCCTGCGGTCCTACCCCCCAGCTGCTCCTTCCCCACAGGCCTGAGCTGAGCCCCCCAAGATGAAGTGGGGAGAGTTCCCACCAGACTCCTGCCCTCTCCACCCCCGTCCTTCCCCAGGTCCACCGGTGTTGCTAGGGTGCAGGGCACACGGTGTCCCATGAGGCCCCAGCCCCCTCCCCCGGTGGGGTTAATTCCCTGTCCTTCCCCGTGTCCACCGGTGTTGCTAGGGTGCAGGGCACAGGGTGTCCCACGAGGCCCCAGCCCCCTCCCCCGGCGGGGTTAATTAACCGGGAGAAACTTTCCATCCATCCTCCGCTAGCTCCCATCCCCCACACCTGACGAAGGTCCCTTGAAGACAACAGAACAGGTGCCCAGCACGGCAGGTCCCCAGCTCCCACCCTCCCACTGAGGCCCTGGCGGGCTGATCAGACCACGGTGTACCCCCTGTTTTGCATGGGCAGAGCCCAGCCCAGAGCCAGTGACTCCTTGGCAGGAAGGCTCTGCTCAGTTTGCATTTTTGGCGGGTGGGCTGGGCTGGGCTGGGCTGGGGTGTGTGCTCAGGACCTTGGGGGCTCAGGCTACATGGCCTGAGTCTGGGATGTGGGCTGTGGGTGGCCCCTGGGTCCCCAGTTTGTTTGGCGACCACACACGGGTCACCTGCAGGCTTTCTGCTTGTGGCCAGCATGGGAAAGCCACAGGTTGACACCTCTCAGAACTGTTGGAAGTTCAAGGCGAATGGGGGTGGGAAGCCCCCTGCCTCTCCCACCCCCTGCCCACTCCAGGGGCACAGGGAGTCTCATTCTGCCCCAACTCTGGCCACAATCCCTGAGATTAGGAGACAGGGCTGGCTTCCTTGACCTTGGGAGGGTGGGAAGGGGGCTGGTGCTGAGTTTGGGGGAGCCTTCCTCTGGCCCAACAGGCTCCCCATCCCTTTGGTCTCACAGCTGCACCACCCACCTAGGGAGGGGCCCAAGGCCTGGCGCCGGTGGGATCCTGGTTGGTTAATTGGACAGACTGTCAGAAGCTGGGGGAGGGTCCGCCAGGAGCTGGGTGGGAGCCCAGGGAGTGGGTGGGGGCGGGCTTCTGGGGGAACAATTAGGGTCCTGCAGAGGATTCCCTCCTGTTTGGGCCTTTCCTCAGAGACCCCCACACACAGTCACGTGGGTGTAGGGCCAGCTGCCAGGGGGTCCTCGTCCAGCTCTACCTGCCAGGAGCTGCTGCTGTCAAGCCCCGCCGCCCGCACCCCGTGGACACCCCCAGCCATGGCACTTGGCGGGCACTGCGGGCGCGCACGGCACTCAGACGGACCGCGGCTCCCCCGAACCTCATAAGCCGCCGCCCCGCTTGCAGCACCACCCGGGAGTTAGGGTGAGCCCAGGGGACCGACTTGGGCAAGCCAAGAGCCACGGGGTCCTCCCCAGCCCCAGGGGCCTGTTTGTTGGCCCTACCTTGAAAGGTGACAGCGTAGGGACAGTGATGACAACGGCCAGGCGACCGAGAGTGACAGCGAGGGCCAAGTGCTGTGCCCGGAGTCTGCCTGGCAGAGCCCCAGCTGGGCCCCGCCCCTCCCGCCACCTGGGCCCTGGCCCCGCCCCCACGCCCTCCTCAGGGCTGAGCTGACCCCAGAGACAGCCTGTGCTGCCGCCTCCCTGGGGCTCACCCAGTGCATGGACATGCAGCCAGGGGCCAGTGTGGGGCTGGTCCAGTTACCCCGAGGGGCCAGCTTGGCCACCGGTGGAGTAGTCTCCTTCAACCTTGGGGGCAGGTTCCTGGGTTGCATACTAGGGGCCTTCCCACTCCAGTGTCCTGGGCCAACTGGGAGGAGTAGGGATGGGGCCAGGACCCTTTGCCCTCTGGGGTCTCTGCAGCCTGCAGGGTTTGGGTGAACCTCAGCCATGTCCCGAACGGGGCGTCCTGTATGTGCCTTGTGGCTCGCCCTGGGATGTGAGCCTCTTCCTGCTAAGGGTCCTGGGCCTCCGTGGAGCTCCCTGCTCTGTCCTGACTCCCCATTCCCAGGTCAGTGGTGGGCACAGCGGGCAGCTTTTTGGTCTGCCCTCAGCTGAGGGTGGCTTCCTGAGGTGTCCCTGACACCAGGCCTGTTGTGGGGGCCCTGGGGGTCACTGCCCAGGGAGAGGTATGCAGGCTGTGGCACTCAGGCTGGTGCCGGGCAGCCTCGAGGCTCTGGGGAGGGCGTTCCCTCTGGGGCTCAGCACGCGTCAGCCTGCAGAGCTGAGACCGGCCCGTTTTTCCTCCAGGTTTCTCCGTGTTTCCCCTTGGGCTCCTGTGGGAGCTGCACCCTGTACACACCAGGCTGCATCCCTGGGTGGGGGTCCCTGGGCAGCAGCGGCCGCTTCTGAGAGTGCCGGGCCAAGCTCCCCAAACTTAGTCCCTGCAGAAGCTGGGCCACCACATCCCAGGGAGGCCTGGGTCAGGCCCTTCTCAGGTGTTCCCAAGGCCAGGGGCCTGTGAGAGGTCACTGCCTCCTACGTGTCACAGGGAACTGCCTGGCCTGCCTCGGGTGGCCCAAAGCCCTGTGGGGGTGGTTGGGGAGAGGTGGGCCCCGTCCCCCTCCGGCTCCCAGGCCCTTGAGGCCACTCAGCAGGCCTCCCGCCCTCTGACTCTGAGAATCGGGGCCACCTGCACCTCCCACCCTGATGTGGGTCGGCTGGTTCAGAGACGCTTCTGGAACTGGGGCACATCAGGGAAGGGATTATTTTTATTGTGGATTTGGGGGTGGGGTGGGGGAGCTTAAAGCCCAGGGTGCCAGGCCGCCTCCTCAGACAGATGGCTGCCCCTCTGCGCACGGAGGGGGCTGGATGAGGTTGCTTTGGTGCCTGCCCTGCCCTGCCCTGCCTGGGCCCTCGGGTGCTGCGACTCAGGATGCGTCTTGGTATCTGGGCTGCTGGGGGCACTCCTTGTGGCTGGGAGTGCCACTCCGCCTGGGTGCCAGAGTGGCTGTTGGGGGAGGGGTACCACCCCAGGATGTGGGCAAGGGGGAGGGGACCCCAAGATGTGTCCCCATGTTCACAGGGACAGCAGGTGGCTTGGAGCCAGGGCCAGGGCCAGGGTGGGGACACCCTGAGCTCTGTGGCTGAGTTGTGAGAGCCAGGGGCTCTGCGGCTGCTCTTGGGACTCCAAGAGGCCTTTTCATCTGCTCATCTGGAAGGAGCTAGGGCGTCTCTTAACAGGGTTGCCAAGGCTCTGGGTTCTGGTTTTTGGGCAAATCTCTGGACCCAAGTCACCGAGGGTGCCTGAGCTCTATCCAGCACTGCCAGTGTCGCCAGCGGGTCAGGACGGGGGTTGGAGTGTGGTGTGGGCCACCAGGATGGGCCGTGGGGCCACGTGCTGGAGTGAGACTGCCCCGGGTCCAGGCCTCAGCGTCTCAGGAGGGAAGGGGCGGTGTGTGCCTACATGGAGGACCTGAGCAGGGTCTGGATGTCCCCCAAGGTCGAGGGCAGGAGGAGGTTGAGGGAAGTGGGGGCAGGGCCTTGAGTCTGCTCCAGGCCCATGTCCCAGGCACGTGGTGGGTCCTGTCTCTCACCCCGCGTCCGGTCGCTGGGTCACACAAGTCACACTCCATGTCGCGTGGACCCCCAGGGTCAGAAGCAGGTCTTGTCCTGACCCAGGCGGGTGTAGTCACCTCCGCTCCTGTGTGAGGGGCTGTGAGACCCCATCCTCAGTAAGACCCGGAGTCTCAGACTCTGATGTATCCCTTCCTACCAAGGCTGTGCTTGGAAACCCCCAAACACATCCAGGCCCCCACCCTGGAGCTGGAGTCAGTCTCGGGGTGTAGAGCCTGCCTCCCCCGGCCCAACAGCTTGGCTCGGCTTCCATGATTTCTGTCAGGATGACTTTCAGGGACGAATGGCAGCTGTTCCCCAACTGAGTGACCGCCACCTCACAGCCTCCCGGGAGTTCAGGGCGCTTTTCGGAAATTAGGCCACGAATTGGGCCGCTGGGTGAGAACACGCAAGGCTCTTTCCGCTGGCCTAGAAATGGCTGCCGGGGCCCCAGCGGCTTGAGACCTGCCAGAACTGGCTGTGCAGCTGGGCCTGGCTTGGGGCAGGGGCGCCGAGAACCCCACTTATGGCCAGCCGAGACTCTGGCGGAGACTCGTGCACCTGGGGGCCCTTCACACTGACTTCAGCGCTTGGTCCACACCGACATGGGGGCCCGGACCCCTTTCTAGTGGGAAGCTATAGTAGGGTCTCCTGGGACTGGCCTCTGGCGGCGGCCACAGCTCTGAGTGGGTGATGGAGAAAGTCTCCAACATCAGTCAACTCTGCAGGGAACAGAAGGACCCAGGACCCGCCCCGTCCTCCACCTGCCTGTGCCCTGGGCTCTGTCCCAGGGGACCCTGTGGCCTGCAGGCCAACCTCCCTCCAGCCCCAGGGTTACAGCAGGCTCTCCAGGTCTCTGAAGCCCTTTCCCCGGAGGCCTGAGACCCCAGGCAGCCGGGGGCGGCGGGGAATGGGTGAATGTGTGTGGGGGATATGCTGATTTTGTCTGCAGTCCCTGCTAACAAAACCGCAGAGGCAACCACGGGGTCCGTGGAGCGTACCAAAGGCAGCTCCTCCTCGAGTTAACAGGAGCTCATGGCAATGATCGTTACATCATCTGTAGAAGGTTCTAAGTGATTTTCAAAAATACTTTAAGCTCTTAAATACAAGTGCAGAAAACCTGAAGGGAATCACGGGCACGTGGCTGCGTCCACACCTGACCACCATGTAGTAAGGGCCTGCTGGGGCTGGGCCAGAGCCTCTCTCCCGCCGCAGCCTTGGGGAAGCGTGCCCTCCTTAGCTGGGTTTACTCTCAACAGCTGTGGGTCAGTGCGTGGTTTCAATTGCCCGAGGACTCCTGCTTAAAAGACGCCCATCTCCTGCAAACCCAGGTATCTCTGTGTTGGTCAGAACCGCGGCTCGAGGCAGGAGGTCCTGGAGGGACGGAAGCAGGCTGGGCGGAGGGTCCCCGTGGGCCTTGGACGCCCTGATTCCTGGTCTGAGGACTGGAGGTCAGTGTGTCCCTGAAACAGTGGCAGCTGGGCTGCCGGGGGTGGGGTGCCGCGCCCAGATCTCAGAACTTGCTTGTGTTTAAGGGGAACTGACAGGCTACACCAAATGACTCTTTCAGGAGTGCCAGCTCAGAGCAGTCGCAGATTTTCCAAACTAGACACAAATTTGCTCAGCACAGGATGGTGGGAGGTCTTGAGGTGTGGCCTTTCCAAGGTCTGTGGGGGAGAGTGAGTCAGGCCTTCTGCCCCAGGCCACCCTCTGGTCTCGTGGTCCGCAGGGTGGTGGCCAGCGCCATGCAGCAGCCTGACAGCCTGGCTTTGGGATGACTGGGAGGCTGGGTGCAGTGGCTCACACCTGTAATCCCAGCACTTTGGGAGGCTGAGGCTGGAAGATCCCTTGGGCCTGGAAGGTGGAGGCTGCTGTGAGCTGTGATCACACCACAGCTCACAACAGGGAAAACTTGTCTCAAAAAATGAGATGACGAAGGTCCTGTTACCTTGTCCAGGGACACCCAGAAGTTACGACAGGTTGCTTTGGCCTCTGGCTGTGCCCATGGCTCCGTTAAAACAAATTCCGGGCCGGAGGGCCACCGCTGTAAACGGGTCAGGGTCCGAGGGCCTGCCTGTACCACTAAGCACAGGACATGCTGAGTCCACGTTGGCCTCTGAGACCCTGGATGGGTCACACTGCACCCCATCAGGGATCCTGGGACCCCCACTGCAGGTGGCCCTGCTTCCAGGGCCAGGGAAACCACAGAGTGCCTAGTCTTCCAGATCTGCTTGGTACATGAGTTTAGGATGGCCCAAGCTGGCCAGGACCCCCATGCAGAGGGCGGTGCTTGTGGACAGCCGGGTCACCCCACCATGGGTGAGTCCCTACACAGCCCACTTCCTACTCCATGGGTCACAGGCCTTGGGGGTGCATCCTGCTACGTGGACCCCAAACCCCAACTTGGGCGGCCGGCTCACTTCCTTACTATCTCTGTCACCATGTGGGGCAGAAAGATGGCGGCCTGGATTTCTGAGCTCCTGAAGCTCAGGAACAGCGCAGCCACTTGCCAACGCAGGGTGTGAGGCACAGACGGTTCCAGGGTCTGGCCTGTGCCCACAGGGGACTCCTGCCACACGGGCCGCAAGGCCAACACTGTCCACCCCCAACCCGGGGCAGGTCCCAGTGCAGCCCGAGAACAGACATATGCACCCCAAAAAGAGTCAGTGGGGTAGATGCACACATCTGGGGAGCTTCGTGTTGCCCCAAGTGGGCAGTAGCCCTGGGCACCTGGTATTTGGCCCAGGGCTCTGCCGCTAGCAGAAGCCTCCAGGTGTGTAGGGTCTGTGCTGGATGCCTCCAACCTGCCACCGTGGACTCTCCACCCGGGTGCCAGCACCCAGGTCCTGGCAGCAATGGAGAATCTTGCACTTGGTGGCAGAGAGCCCCTGAGCAGCCCAGGTGTGTGCAGGTGCACGCCTGTGGCCGGGGCAGGAGCAAGGGGAGGGAGGAGCTCTGAGGAAGCCACCTGCGTCCCCACAGATCAATCACTTAATATTCAATGTGATCTACACACCTTTTATTTGCA